TCTTGGATTTTAGAGTTACATCTTTGATTACAGCCTTAGATTTGTGATCACTTTGAGCCCCTTTGGTGTGAAGATTTACGTGAATGGCCTGGTGCCTTGATTCAAAGTGCCAGTCACATTTGAAGCAGAAAGAAATGTATTCTCCCAAAAAGTGAATTTAGGTACTGCACCTGTGAGCTTGTGCTCACACTTGGAATGCTCTGCAGGATTTTGATGGTTGAGTTAGAGAGGCAATGAGGGGTTTGTTTGCAAGGGAAACTACTTGGAGGGAAAAAAAAAAACACCCAAACCTGGTGCTGGGGGACAGAGGGAGGAGTCCGGTGCCTACTGTCTCTGTTTCAAACTCTTAGGGTATCACTCCCATCCTGAGGGTTCAAAGGGTTAATGGAAAGAGGGATTTTCATTGCATAATGCACAGTGATAGTCTGGGTTTAAACTTTAAAGGACAGGTGAAAAGAGAGAGAGGGAGCTGAATGCTTGCCTTATACATTGGAGAAATTGTTCATTCATGTGAAATGCTGACCTCTGTCAGCTTGCCAGGATGACTGGGCCCTAGGGTGAGAGGCTGGTTGAAAAAGTTAAAGCTGCCTGGGGAGTGCTTTAAAAGGACAATGTCAAGGTTGATCTAGCCAAAATCTGACCCATCTTTTATTTTTTTTTCTTTTTTTTTTCTTTTCTCTCTCTTACATCAATTTCCAAAGTTCACGTCATTTGTTTTGATGCTTTTAATAATCTTTTAATCCAAACCAAAATGTTCTAATTGCCATTGGAGGGGAGTGATTAAGAGGAGAAGCTGTGAGCATTCAGTGTGGCAGATATTGTGAAGGAGGAAAGATCCTGAAATAAAACACAGGTATGGGGATTGTCTTTAAATTAGGTGGATAATTAGTAAATGAGAATTCAGGCTGAAATGTGGAAGGAATCAATGAAAGTGAGTAAAGATTTTTTTATGAATTTGAAATGCCAATGCAGATCCAAACTTAAATTCACAACAAGTTAATTCAAATCTTCTATTTATTTTTATTTTAATAGATTTTTTTCTGGTTTTGGGGGGTTTAAATTTTTTTTTAGTGGTTTGCTTTTGTTGGTTTTTTTGTTGCCATTTTGGTTGTTTTTCATTCTGATGATCCTTTCTCATTAATAGCAGATTGTTGTACATTATTCCTGCCTTAACTGAAATATACCCTTCCTTCTTTTCTTTGTTTGATGGCCTAATTAAAACCAGAGTGTAACAGTCTTTTTTTTTTCTATGTGATATAATATCCCAAGACTCTCATAACTCTCACACAAGTATTTCACCCACTCGAACAATTTCTATTCTAATTGGGAAATAGATGAACTAACTATCTGTGCAAGATCAAAGAAAAATGGACAAGAGGAAGTAGTAAAATCCAAGTAAAGAAAATATTTCTTTCTCTACATAACCACGGTGCTTCCCAGAAAATGCAGGAGGGAATGATCCCACTCAACCATCGCTGGTTTTAGCTCAAGAAATCTCTGGTAAAACGATCTTGCAATCTGCTCTGTGCTCACAAGAGGGCGGCCGGATCAAACAGACTCCAAATTGACCTTTCCCAGCTCTCGAGAGTTTTTTCCTGCTTCAAAAAAGTTTTCCTATGAAGGCCAGTCTCACTGCTGGGTTGCTACCCTAATTTAGGGAGTATGGGAGACCTTAGTTACAAAGGAGAATAAAATTTAGAAAATGTAATTGTAGAGGTTTGTTTTGCAAAAAGGTGCTGTGGATTTGTTTGGTTTTCCCCCTATCGTTATCTTCGTTATCAAGTACTAGAATTTGGTATAATCACTCCTGCTCAGTTCTGTTAAAAAAAAAAAAAAAAAGGCAGCTTCTAAGAAATTCTGGTGTGTCTTAATGTCTTTCCTGGCTCCAAAATATTATCCTTCCCTCACTTTTTTTGTGCTGGCTTTTCTAAATCGTGGACAAATGGATGATCTTGGCTCTGCAGTGTGGAATAGGGTATGGAAAGAGATGGGATCACAGGACTCACAGGAGCAGGAGAACAGAGAGTCCACACCATAATCTGGTTCTCCATCCCTCCCCCAAATATCACAAATCATCCTGTGTCTTGGCAAATAACACTTTTACAAAGCCTTTGAGTGGTAATACCAAAATTCTAGTACTTGCTAACAAAGATGATAACAGGAAGGAAAACCAAACAAATCCACAGCGTCTTTTCGCAAGACAAACTTCTACAATTGTAATTTCTAAATTCTCTTGTTCTTTGTAACTAGGGTTTCCCATACTCCCTAAAGCAGAGTAACAGCCCAGGCAGCAGTAAAGAAGCTGTCTGGGTTAAAAGACACTCTGCCTCCTGCCAGCAAGGCTATTTAGTGTTTATCTCTATTACATCCATCTGTAGCTAATTGTATAGTTATGGTAATAGTGCCCTCCAGAGGAATTTTGAAGGAATTATAATACTCGGAGCTAATCCAAAAGATGTTCTAAAAATGAGTGCATCAGGAAAATGGAATATTATTAAAATGATAAAATACTTGAACCTCAGGGGGGGGAAAATATCTCAGTATCAAAGCTCTTTCTATTTTGCATGTGCATTTACATCTAAGAAAAGCATACCCTGGTTACAATAGGCTTCTTCATAGCCTGATAGCAAACATGAAGTTTGCATAACTCCATTTGAATCAAGGATATAAAAGTAGATCAGCCAAGTGAAGAATGGGGAGCTATTCCCAGGCTGCAGCAGGCACTAACAATGTATTATGAGTGGGCTCCAGCCTCAGCCTAGACTGTCTGGATTTTTCCAGGACTCAGAGCTATCATGTAGACATGGCACAGTTAATTGAGGCAGTCCCAAGGAAGTGCAGATGTTCAAGGAGCCCTTTGGATGAGGTTTGGTCTAAGATCAAGATGAATCATGCTTAGAGTCTCAAATTTCAGTGACCATAACCTGCTGTGACAGTACACCCCAAAGGAAGGACATGTTGCTGTGCAACAACAGATATCTTATTTTAGACCAAGTCCTGGAGGCCTGAGCTCAGCCTTCTGAGATGACACCTCAGCACCTGAATGTCAGATGCATTTAAGTTTCCTCATGTTTCTTTTGTTTTTTTGGGGGTTTTTTTGGTTGTTTTTTTTTTTTACTTCAGTGCTCAACCTACAGGATTAGATGGCTTTTTTTATATTCTGAAATTTGTCCCCTCCTCCTCAAAACCACCCAGCCAACCCTTTATGAGACCTGAAATGGCAGTGAGTTGTGTGTTCATTTGCTTTCAGGCACAGCCCAGGGTCACGTTTGACCTGACTGGAGCAGGTTTGCAGCCAGGTGTCCAGGCCATGGGGACATCCCACACTGCCACTGCCAGAACTGGGAGGAGCAGTGAAGTTCTCCCCTGCTTGGGATCAGGTGGGTCTGGCAAGGTCAGCTCCTGCTTGGCAAAGGGAGGTGGTGGAGCTGCTTGTGATGTAGCTCTTCATAACAGGGTCACCACCCCCAGCCTGAAGCTTCTTCTCAGCTGAGGTTTTTTATTTTGCATGAGCCACCGAGGAGGGTGAAATGAGCTGTGCACAGACTGGTAGGGCAGGGGTGACAGGACATGACCACTGACTGTAGGGAATGCTCCCAGAGCTTCCTGGCTCTTTCACTTGCCCCAGTAACTGTGGTGAAGACTGTCTCCTCCTCCCAGTTTTCATGGACTCAATGCAGGGGATTTTGGCCATCTCCTAGGCCAGGGTCATGGATGTTATTCTTTGTTTCTTTTATAGTAATACCCCCACCCAAAAGCACCAGAAATAGCTGACTGCAGGGAATATCAAGCTCTTTGAATGAGGGTTTTCCAAGGGCTGTGGAATGGGTGGACATGTGTCATAGTTGAGACAGTCACAATAAAAAGCAACACTCAATTTTCAGAAGGCTTCAAACCTGTTTTTATTATATCATGTATGCTTTCTATGCATTCTTACAAAACTCAGAAGTTTACACTTTGTCTTTCCTGACCAATGAGTAAAGTGCTCATTGGAATAGGCAGCTGCAGGTTTCTCTTATTTATCCTTCTTTCTTTCTTGGTCTCCGTATCAATGACCTTGGTAGGAAATTCTTTCAGGGCTAAACATAGATCCTCTTATCAAATTTCTCTCTAGCTCACAAAACTCACTGTAAAACCTCTTCCACAGAGATTAGTTGAGGTCTCTTGCTTTTTTCTCTTCTTTTTTTCCTAAGCCAATGCTTGCCAGATGATCTGACCTCACTGTGACCTGGGAACCTGTCCCTGGAAGACACCAGCCACCTGTAGGAACCACCATGCATGGATATTGACTCCTCCTCCTTTATCTTCCCCTAGCTATCTGCTTCAGCAGGGTTTTGTCCTGCCCTTACTCTTCTCCCCAGGGGTACAGGTGGAGCAGCTCACCTGGAATGTGAACACAGTGATTCCCTTCCTGCATCCACCTATTCCTGCTCTTGAGAGGAACACAGAGCAAGCTGGGGAGGCCAGAGGAGTGGCATCAACAAGGATTTGGCTGGGCTGCCCAGAGTAGTGCAGGACAGAGCACAAATCCATGTGGTGGCTGCTGCAGTGGGATGAGTGCCTTTGGTATGGAGTAGGGTGTGTGTTCATCAGGGCAGGAGTGTCCAGCTCTAGGGAATGCACCTCACCTGTTGAATTCTAGATGCACAATGGACAGGGTCCTCCTTGCTGCCCTCCTGGCTCAAATACACGGAAGCATCACTGCCTGGACCACCAGCAGCCTAGCACAGGGCCTGACACAGCAGGGAGCGGTTAATGTTTAAGAATAATGTGTATGTTTGTCCCCACAGATAGATGGGGAAGGTAATTTGGGGTGACAGATGAAGTTGTATTCTCACCTCTGCAAGTACCTCTTTGCCAGCCAGTCCAATTGTGGTGGAGGGCTGCTGTGAGTCTGATTTCCACACAGCAGTTTGCAGAAATATGTTTTATTGCAGGTAAGCCATTCCTTTGCATTATTTATGTTAAAAGTTAAGTAAATTATTGTTGGCTTTCATGCTGCAGGTAAAGTTGTAATGAAAACAGTAATGAATGCTTTGCTGACATGCACAGGCAACCTAAGTATGCAGCCGAATTAGCTATCTAAGCAGATGCTTTATATCCCGAATTGCATATAAGGAATGCTGTTCAGTTGGTTTAAAAATAATATATACACCCACAAACTTTTTCTTTTGTAAAAGCTGTATGGTTGGTTTTTTGTATGCTTGTTTGGGTTTTTTTTTTTTTTTTAAACAACAGTTTCAATTGTGCTGTGGGCAATTATGACAGTAAAATTAAACTCAGAAGAAAGATAGAAGAAGCTAACCAAGTTCAAGGAGTTCAGGGAAAATTCAGAAATAATGTATTATTTAAGCTGCTGTAATACTGCAATATGGGCAATATTGGAAATAGGGATGCTCTTATGCTTAAAGAGTTTTTAAGTGGTTTTCTTTGGTAAAGGCAGTAGAGCTCTGGTCTGCAGGAGTGGGTAGTTGAACTCTGTCCTTTTGCAGAGGGGGGGTCTTTGTCCTCCTTCTGCTCTGGCAGCCTTGCAGAAGGCCCAAGTTGTTTTTTTGTTTTTTTTTTTTTACCAGTATTCTTATTCATCTGCTGCTTAAACACAACATATCTCACCAGTGTGCCAGTGGAAAACACAAGAGTGTTTTCGTTTGTGCAGTCTGTGGTGTGAACAGTTTCTAGAAGGTCAACAAACCCTACAAAACACACTGGAATGACGAAGCCAATTTCCCAGAGAGCCACTGAGCAGGCACACTGGAGTGGGAAGATGAAAAGAATAGTATAAGAAAACAGTGGAAAAAGCAGAGAAGGTAAGAGAAATGGAAGAAAAAAAATAAAAAAAGAAATTTATGAAGCCTTATGAGTGAGAGCTTTGGCTTTGAGCACTCTTCAGCTTTGGGGTTTTTGACTTTCAGCTGAAACTTGTGGGTTGACGTCTTTTCTGAATAATTTAAGCTCTCTTCTTGGGTCCCTTAGCATTTAATAGGTGTTTGTATGTATATACTTATTTTAGGCTTTTATAGACAGATCTATGTATATAAGTGTAGGCATATATATATACTTGCATGCATATACATGTGTGTTTAGAGACACACATATAAACCTTCATATATGTGTTTGTATCTGTGTGTATACACATAAGAAATGGCCTGCTTGCCTTATTTCAGCTGCATATTTTAATATACATTAAGACTGTTCTCCATTCCAGCGCCTAATTTTTTTCAGAGATTTGATTTCTTTTTTTTTAAACCCAGAGTAATTGTTTCTGCCAGGAACAACACTGTTGAAGGGCGCTGTTCCTTTCAGAAGATCAAAGTACAAAAGATGTTCAAATAAAAGGAGAGATTAAATTCCCTGGGCTACATTTAGTCCTAGCTAGCTTTGCAGGCTGTGGAGGTTGATCTTTCACAACAGCCTATTTCAAACTTCAGGAGGGTGTTGGTAACTTAGTAACTTTGTATATTAGATGGAGGTGTCAGCAGAGCCTGTGAAAGTGTTTTCTATGTTAAACAATTTTTTTTTTCAATTTGTTTTTCTCAGAAAATTGGAACTTTGCTCCCCGCCCCCTCTTTCCTCTCTGTCCTTTCCCTTTCTTGTTGTGTGTGAGTAAATAGAGGGTGAGGAGTGTTTTCAGAATTGCAAAGTCCTCCTTGCCCTTTCCAACAAATGTCTCCTTCACCGATGAATCATTGTAATGACTCAACCACTGTATTGTCTGTTGCAACTTTTATTTTCTTTGCCCAGCAGCATCTCCTCTGCTGGGTTTTACTAAACAGGTGGGAGGGCACAACCCCTGCTTGATGAAACTTGTGAGAAAGAAATAGGAGCCTGTAATACAAAACAAGCTATTTTTAAATTTTTTAAAGCCAGTATTTTTATTCATCTGCTGCTTAAACACAACATCCTGGCTTTTTTTTTTTTTTTTTTATATGGAAAAGCCCTGATGTATCTCTGTAGTTTTGCTGTCACTTTGACATCCCTTTGGTGCAGCAGTACTTTGGAGCGCTGCTCCAGGACCTCAACAATCAGGAATGTTTCCCACAAGGAGTTTTCTGAGAGGGATCATATTTGTCAGTGATGGTAATGGATAAAATGATGTCCCCCAGAGCCAGACATAAAGCTCGGTTGCCATTGTCCTTGACACAGAGATCTCTGCTCCCTGCCTCACAGTTTTGGGGAAATGACAGTAGGTGGCACTGGAGAATAGGAGCACACAAGGATGGAGCAGTTTCCTCACTGGTGCTCTGTTTAGCCAGTTTTCCATCCCCACGGATTGCTAAAACACTTTTTCTTCATTCCCCTTTGCAAGCCTATTATTACTGCAAGCCTGCAGGCTTCAAACGCAAGAGCTCTATTTCAGAAACTCCACACTGCCTGTGAAGCAACCCTGGGAGTAAAACCTGCTTGGAGATGTTGTGCTTCATCCCGGGGCGTGTGGAGTGATTGTTTTGCCAGCTCTTTCTGTAGCAGAGCTGGCTCCAAAGAGCACACTGGTGCACAGCTAAATCAAATTATTCCTTAATCTGAGCGAGCTGTGGCTCCTGCCGGCTGGTGGAGCAGTGAGAGTGTCTAACAGAGGTGAAGGGAACATCCCAGGGACTCTGTTTTTTCTTCGTGTCCGGAAATTTTGTCCCACACTCCAGCAAAAGAGGCCGAGGCAATTCTTGGCAGCTCCAGGAGGAATTAGGGTACAAAGTGACTCAGCAGTTTCCTGTCTGCTCCTTTAATGGGAAGCACAAAACGGAGAATTAGTAGACACCCTAAAAGCCTGGGAAAATTCTGAAAATGCTCAGAGTTTCTCAAGAAAAACCTTCATAGGCTTCTCCTGGAAATCACCATGGGGAGAGAGGTCCCAGCTCAGTTTGCATTATGTGTAGCCTTCTGTGTGTGCTTGGAATATGAGCTGTTCCCATGAGTATTTCCTGTTTTCCCAATCCTCCTCCTCCAGCTGTGTCCAATCCCTGTGAGGTGAAGCAACACCGCACTGGCAGAAACCCTGAAATGGCAGCTCCTAAAACTGGTGTGCTCCTCTCTCTCAGGATCACTTCACAGTAATCACTGGAAATGAGAACAGTGCAGCACAAATGCCACCAAATAGCTCACGGAGCAAGGTGACATTTTAAAAGGATACATGGAGAATATATGACAAAAAATGCATCACCTTTCACCAACTGAAATAAGTTTTGTCCTTGTCTAACTGCTTTTAAATCACAGTGAGAGCACTGACAGCTTTTATGCTTTAAAGGCCAGGATTTTTTTCCTGTAATGCTGATAACTTCAGTTTATCAGATATAAGATATCAGATATTAATAATTAACTTTATATGCTTTCTCCTAATCTGTTCAGTCTTATTGCATGGCTTTTTATAACTGAAATTCTGTTTTGTTGACCCTTACTCCCTCCCTGCTTCTGAGGATATTTTCTTGCCTGTTACAACCTTGGGATTTTGCTTGAGTTCTGAATAGCCACTTCAGAGGAGCAATTGCTCACTTTTTAAGGAATGGTATGAAGTGTGAAGGCGAGTGGTCCCTGAGGGGAGTCCTTTTGTGTAGTGTCTGGAGCAGCCTGTGCTGCTCCCTTTTATGGAGGGCACTGGGCTCTTTGAGGATGTGGAAGATGGACGTGGCCAGTGCTGTGTTTACTGCAGCTCTTCAGGCCCTTTGCAGAGAGCCAAGTCCTCACTGGTCCCTGGGAAATATCCCAGAATAAGGGAGGTTCTTCCACTGTTGTGCTGTGCCAGCTCTGCACACTGAGGAGCCAAAGCCAGAGGGCCACTCTGCCACTAGAGGTTTGTACTGTCCCCCTCCCCTGTGACTGGAGCTGGGAGCTCCTTTTGGACCATGTAGATGGAGTAGAGAAAATTTTTTACTCTTGTTCTTAGGCAGAAATCTTCCAAAGAGGCAATTCTTTCCCTTTAATGAAGTTGTTATTTTAAGCATGTTGGAAAATTGCGCTGAAAGTGTAAGATAATCTACTGCCATATATATATATATATATAAAAATAAAAAGTATGGTTGGGTTTCCAAATTGAGAGGGAGAATAGATAAGGTGTTAGCTTTTTATTGCTACTGCAGTTTGAATTTTTCCTGAGGGACGCCTCGGGAAGAGAATCATCACCGCCACAAACCGGTTAAACAGGAAGGAAAGCTCCTGACGGAAAAGTTCCGCCTGCTTGATAGTGAAAGCACATAGGTCACCCGAAAATGTCTGTGAGCAGCAAGGCACAGCAGGCTCTATATCCTTCTAAAAAATTGTGCTTCAGGTAAGGAGTTGCAACAGATATTCTTACTGCTTAGCAAGTGCCCCGTCATCTCCTCTTGGGATCTGTAAAAGCGAAAATTGAGCCCGCAGAGTGCCAAGGTTTTTTACGAGGATTCACGGGCATGGCCAAGTGTGGAAAGTTTTGTGTGCTTGAGTGGTACTTGCAGTGCCGTGAGACTCTCAAGTCTGTAGATTTGTAGTGGATATTTTACAGTATTGGTTGGGATTCTCCCTTAAAATCCCTGATCCCAGAACCACAAGATCACGTGTAAATACAGCTGTCATTCAAAAGGAGAAGGAGGGCTTCATGGAGAAAAAAGTTAAAGCCTCCAAAATTAAATTTGGATTGAGAAACCACAAGGCAAAAAACCAAAAATAAACCCAAAACTTGGGTGTTTTATAAAAATCCATATAAATTTTGCCTCTTTAATGATTTTTGCAAATTGTTTGATTAATGTGCTTGACAAGACTCAGAAGGTGAAATACTGGCTGGCCAAGAGCCAGATCCTTTCCTGACCTTTGTGTGCTGCTTTGAAAAGGGTGAGGAGTTGGCCCAAATGCAGAGCCTGGTGGTTCTGACCAAACTAGCACAACTTACACCATGGAAATTTGGATATTTGCACCATGGCATGCTGAGCTTCCTCTTTCAGGGTCAGTTTTAAATACAAGTCCTTATGAAAGACACAAGATGTTTCTGTGCAGAGGTTACAGGAAGCCTGTTCAAGGTTTGATGTTAGGCATTTATGTGCCATCATAAACAGAATTTGTTTGAAATGCAAGGAAAATATTTTAGTAACAGCTAAAAGGGTATAAAAGGCATTGTATTTTCTGTGCCTTGTAGTCTTCCAGACAGCCAAGCTTTTTTTAAGGAAGATGAAACTGGAGGAAGATTTCATTATTTTATCTTTCATTTCTTCCTGAAACATTCAAATTTTCAAGATGGGTTGAAAATTCTTCTTGAGTTAATGGCCATATAATTTTCTTTCTTGTTTTCTTTTATTTACCTGCTATGGAATTGAAAAACAGAGAAAGTTGTAAATTAGAACAATTTCATACAAGGAACTTTTGTTGTTATGCTTTTTTTTTTTTTTAATAGTGTCATTTTTACCTAAAAACACAATGGACTTAGCATTCATTCTGAGGGAAAGCTACAAAACTGTAATTGCATTTTAGATCACCATTCAAAGTGGCATGCATCAGTTTGGTTATCTGGCCTAGTAATTTCATAAATGTGGGGTTTTTTCCAACACAGTTAAAGCAAACCAAAGCATGCAACACATGGAATTACTAAGTGGAGTGTTTGAAACAGTAGTTCAGCTCTCTGAGTTGCAGGTTTTATTTCAGCTTGTTTAAGTTTTCATTTCTCATTCCACACTGTGGGTGACAGAAGCTTATGTCACTTGGAGTTTGACTTAAAATGAAACAAAAATAAATAAAATTGGGATGAATACCTTCTGTTGTAACACAGATTTTTATTGCAAGATGCTGTTATCTAAAATAATACAGTATCATGGGGGCTTAATGGAAAATCTATTTGCAGAGCTAAACTTTAACAATTTCTGAGCACACTTTGTAGCTCAACAGCTTTTTTTTTTCTGCTCAGGAATACTTTTTTTTTTTGTTGTTGTTGAATTATTAAATCAGATGTCTCTATTTCTTTTAGGTGATAAATACACAACTGTGTGCAGTGTGTGGTATTGCTGTTCTGTGCCATTTGTGGGTTTTAAGCTACATCTGTATCACTAAATGAAACAGGCCAATGCCTTTAGGGCAAATGGCCCAGAATAGACTTTGGCTGTAGAACTGAGCTCCCTTCCTAAAAAATATATCCTCATGCATACTGACAGCAGTTTCTAGTGTGTGCTGCCCATCTGAGCCATAGGAGTACTTGGCACATGCCAAAATCAGATCAGGAAGCTTGCTAGCGACAACATTAATGATGGAGCTGCAGAAGCTCATGCTCTTGACTGTAAATTTGCTAAAAAAAAGGCCAGCCTCAGGCTTTGAATATAAAATTCTTTTGTAAAACAAGAAACAAAAAAGGGCTGAAATTTATTTATATATAATTTTTTTTTCCTTTGTATAGCCTAGCTTTTGGGGAATATCAATTGGAGGTCCCAGTATTCTCTGTTCTTTGACTTAACTTTCTTCACCTGATTACACTAAGATGAGTAGTGGTAGAATATGAAGGAACTGGAGTCACAAAAAAGAGGAAAATGTGAATGAAACCGACAACCATTAATACATCTTCCTTCCTGCATTGTGTGCTATGCAAGTGTTGAAATAATGGGAAAAAACATAGAGATTTTCTTTAATATTGATCAGAATTAGTATTTCATTCTTAGATCATCTGTTTCAGGCATCCTGTTGCTATTATTCATGAGTCAAGGATAATAATAATAGTAGTAATTTGTTGTTATTATTACAACTATGATACTAATAATATGTCTGGAAATAACATTCAAACAAAAGAATAATCATCATCCACATTAAGAAAATATTTCTACTCTCTGGAGAAATCTCTAAACCAAAAAAAGACCAAAGCAGCGTATTGCTTTCATTATATTAGATATTTTAGGGTTTAACTTCCATTCTGTGCTTCATTTCAGTGGTGTGTACCTCCAGGTGTGAGCATTGCTCTCTGGACCTTGGAAGTCTAATGAGACTTTCCTGAGGAGCAGAAGGGCTGAAGGGACCCATCAGCCATGGCACACTCTGGGAGGGTGCCCTTCTCCAAGAGTGAATTCTGTGCAGGACAGCCTGGGGACCAAGCATCCTACCCAATGTGCCACCCTGGCTCTGCTGGAGAGATCCCTCTAGGATTTGATCGAATCGTTGATGAAGTCAGCAACGAGTTTTTCTTTTATGGTTCATCCCATGCACATCATCACGAAGACATGTTTTTCCCAGCAGACCTTTTCAGTCAAAATGTGCCTGACCAGCATCTTTACAGTCATCCTCTGGTTGTCCATGGAGAGCTTTATCCTAGGAGTCCAATCCCTCCCTGGCAGCAAGGCACAGTGGCACCAATGGTTGGCTTCAAACCTTCCTTACTACCTGACTGCAGAAACTTCTCTGTGGTGGATTCCCACCCCTACAGTCACGAGAGGGAAGTCCATGGAAGGAAAAGTGTAAATTCAGCTTCAAATGTGGAAAGGGGCAACACAAATCTGGAGTTTCAGATAGGCTTTGACAATCTGGATGCTGCAAGTCCTGTTTTCTTAGACAGTTATCCATTTGGACAAAAAGTGAGAGAAGAAAGTGGAAATGGGGAAGCTTCTGTAACCAACACTTCCAGAAGATGCAGCACAGGGCCTACCCACCCCCAGGGCTCTGGACATAACAGAGAGGTATTTAAATGTTCTTATATTAACAGTGCTTAAGGTTTTTTGTTCTTGTTTGTGTCCTTGTGCTTTGTATATTCACTCACACTGTTGCAACATGGATTAGAAGCACTTAATTGGAAGACATTATGAAAAATAAAACATTTATGCCTAGGGGGAAGCAAAAGAGTTTCATACCAGAAGAGAATCTAGATTATGGTCTAGAATGCTCCAGTAGGCTCATTTTATGGCTCACTGAACCATAAAAGAACCACAGAAGGATAAGTACAGAAATGTAGAGTAAGTTGTGTTTGAAAGATAACATGACAAACCTTTATGGTCTGATATGAAACCTGAGATTCAAAGTAACAATACGTGATGTTGAATCTGGTTTGTTTGTTTTTTTGGGTGTTGGTGTTGTTGTTGAGAGAGATTACTGTCCCTGTGTCTAGTCTGGCTGACATATCCTGATCCTGAGAGATGAAACATATAGCCCATCTTACATTCACCATGTCCTGCATGCAGTTCTGTGTGCATATGTAATTCTTTTCTAAAAATAGACACCTCTACTCTAACTGTGGAAGCTGGATCCTATGACACACACTCTGTCTTTTAGCTGTCTGTGTGAAACAAACCCTTTATCTTTTTTCCTCCTTCATCAGGTGTCCATAGCTCTATTTGTGATTTTGCCATTTTTAATAACTGTGTCTTATAGGACTCCCATGACTCTCTGTTGATGTTATACCTGTCCTCATTTTCTTTCTTTCAAAATCCTGATCTGGAGAAGGGAAAAGAAAATGAAAAACCCTTCCTTTCCTCCAATGCTTGTTAGCATTCTGAATCACTATAGGAATCCTGAAATAGCCTACAGGATACCTCTGCACCATGAATATTAAAAGACAGTTTAGGTTACCTTCTGCCTTTAAGTCCCAGTGATCACAGTATCATACAGCAGAGGGGAAGAGACACTTGATTGACTTGTTTCTATGTCTCTGAATAAGGAGAACTATAAAAGTAAATATATGCAGCCGCAGACAGATGGGAAGGCAGCAGGGGGAAATATATCTGAGGACAAGAACTCTTAAGACTAATCCTGTACACTGCATTTTAGAATTTCAGTGATGAATACAAAAGAGGAGGGGAAGAATAGGTGGAGAGACAAAAGGCTGTTGTTGCTTTTTACTCATGATAGGAAAACTGAAGCATGCTGACATGGTGATGAAAAGAACAAGCCTTCTCAGGAGAAAAGCAGAAAATAGTGGGATACAAATGAGCAGGAGGAGATTAAACCATGGGATGGGAAGAAGAGGTGCTAGAGGAAGCACACATTTAAGAACAGGCACAAACGCTTCTGTGATGGAGGAGGAGAGAATTATAGGGGAGGGAAAAGAAGAGCTGAGTGAGTCAAGGGCAACTACAATCGAATGTGTGGGAGGATTTGATTAAGTCAGGAAAGTATTTGAGCTGTTTAGCTCCAAGAGGAAGAAATGGGAGAGAGGAGTGAATTGATTTGTAGCATAAAATTCACTGTGGTCACAGGAATTCCTTCGGGGAGAAAAAGCCATGTCAGGATAGAAAGAGAGCCAAGGCAAGGGGCTGGCAGCTGAACCTTGAGATGATAAGAGAAAATAAGAGTCAAAGGAATACTCTTACAGAGAGGGAGGAGCAAAAAAAGCCTGTAAAGCAGTTACTGCTGCTGGGCTGGGAGTTTTGGAAAAGACAAGTGCTGCAGGCTGACAGACCTGATGCTGAGTAAGGCAATAAGAAGGGTTAGAAAAGTGGAACACCACAGCAAAAGAATGAGAACAGCTTGGTTTTTTTGAGGTCCAGAACAAGTAAACAATGCATGCAAGTAGTAGGAGGGGAGAACCAAGACTTCAGAGTGAAATACAAAGGCTGCTGAGACACAGAGATGAGATAGGTCATAGTAGGCAAGATGAAATATTCACACTGCTGAAATCATTCTGGTATTCTGATCCAGAGCTCTTGGATGCATTTGTATGGCCTTAGGCTTTATTTAATGTGTGCCAATCAAAATGTGTCCAATATAATAAAGGAAACATTAATTTTTTCTGGCCTTATCACTGCAGATGTTCAAAAACAATAAAGGAAATTATCTTCATAACATCCCAATGAAAGGAGATGCTATTTTTTTCCCATATTAGAAAGAAAGCTGAAATAAAACCTAAAAGGTATCTAAAATACTTAGCTACTCTATGATATTTAGGATCTAATTTTAGAATCTAATGTTTTCAGAGTAACTAACAAGACTCCTATCTTCACCCAAGTCCATCATCAGACCGAACATCATGCTTTTGTTTTGGGCGCTCCAGAAATAAGAAATACACTATTATTGTTCATATTTGAAGGATGGTTTAGGTGACTCGATTAGCATAATGTGATAAGTCTATGAATGAAAAAAAAATTCCAGTCATCAAGGGATGCATTTTATTGCTTCATCCCTGTTGTCATTACTTCTCCTGATATGGAGTTCCATCTCATTCACTGCTCTCTTTAATATATTTGCAGTGCATGGAGACTCAAGTCCTGTTGAAAAATAATGTGCAATAATGTAATTAACATTTTACCTTTATATGCAAGAAGAAGAAAGTGAAGTTTCTGGACATGTGTAAAGAAGACATGACCAAACTAGATCTCTCATCCCTGGAGCTATTTATCTCCTTTATATACCTCTGCCAGAATGACTTTGAGTGACTTAGCAATGGTATTTTGCAGATGTGTATTCTATTGCTGCCTCACAGAATTCTTGTTTGCCATTAGGAATTGCTCAGAGATGCTGGCAGCAAAGGTGCAAAAAGGCAGAGGACTCCTGTGCCACTCCTGTGTCCTGCAGGGCAGGATCCAGATTGCAGCTTTGGGCTGTCAGGCCCATTCTTTAGTAATTATCTAATCATACTCTTCTTCCAGCCATTAGGATTTGAGGCTTCATATCCATGTCCTTGTGGCAAATCATGCATTCCAAGTCTTGTCCCTCTTCTTGCTCAAATTCCTCTCTGTCCTTCTTTATGCAGTTGTGGTTTGGCTCTTTTAATACTTTCAGTCCCATTTAATGTCGTGTGCCAGCCTCACATTTTCTTACCTGTGGGCTAATTTTCTTAGCTTTTCACTCAGTGACTATTTCTCTTTTTGCATGTACATTTCCCAGGGCACTCTACCTGTTCTGCAAGGACAGAGCTGCAAGAGAAAAAGGAGCCTTTGTTAGTGTTTTTGGGGTTTTTTAATGAACAGGTAATTTTTGGAGGCTGTTACTGTTACCAAATCACTCATAATTTCTAAATAGTGAACATCCTCCAGCAGTTCTTATTACTGTCTCATGGGGTGATTGAAAAGTAGGTGCCTAACCAAAATGGAAACAATGAACCAATGGAGGTGTTAGATTTTCACTGGATTTTGAAGGACTTTCCTCAGCAGTTCTTAGAACCAGGAATTGATGGACTACTGATTTAGATTGCTGAATTGAATTTTACTCTATTTACACCCTCAGGATTATCCATTGTTTTTTTCCTACCAGACAATTTTAATTTTCCCCTCTATTGATGATGCCCCCTTAGTATCTTTAAATTCCATGTGCACTCTCCTAGTGCTTTGTGTGATATTGTGGATAATAAAAATACTACATACCATCAGTTTTGGGTCTTACTGTATCCTCATAAGGTTTCTGACTTTTGAGCTTTCAGTTCTGTTGTGATTTCCCCACCAGCCAACTCCCAGCAGATTTCTCATCTTTTATATTCATCCCATCTTTTAAACTATAACTAAAATTTCCCACCCTGCACCTTTTAAGTGCATATTGCACTTTCTTGTCCAGCCAAAAAAAATCTTAAGTTCTGTTTATTAGTTATTTTCAATATATTTCCATGCTTTTATATAAATTATTATTCAAATTATAAAATAAGCCTTTTTTCTCTGTTTTCTCTTTCTGAAGGGCTTTAAAAGCTCTTATACAGTTAAGCCTTGTAATGTCTCTACCTACAAGAGCAGAAAGGGCTTGCAGATGTAATAGCCTTAAATTCTTATCTGGACATGATATTCTGGCTGAAGAGTACTTCAGGCCAACAGACAAAGGGATGCTTGACCCAAAGCAGCAGCTCAGACCTCTGCTCTCCAAGTTCACAGAAAGTATGTAGGGATTTTTTCAGGTTCAGTAGAGTGCACTGGTTCCCTCTTATCTGTTTTAGGGATTTACCTGACAGATTTATGGAGTTTGAGGGGATGCTGAGCTTCCTGCCAGGGCAGAAAGAGAGAAAATAAGGATTAAAAGACACCAAAGCACAAGCTTCAGTTTGTCCTTCTCCCTTTTGTAAATGAAATATCTGCATTTGGAGTTACCTGTGCCTTGATACCAGGTGAATCCTGAAAGCTTGGTCTGAAATTCCTCATGTTCTGCATGGGGGAGGGAAGGAAACAGTTGGTACCCAGGGCAGCTGATGCTTTGTGACTTCTGAAAGCATTTAGAGTGCAGTCAAAACGGGGTCATTTGTGTTTATTTGGAACTCCATCAAGTCAGGGCAGGGGTGATAGGTTCTCATGGAACAAAATTCAAGATGAGCCTTGTGGTCTTTCTGCTTCTCATTTCTAAATAACTCAGCTCTGTTTCTTCTGGGGTCTTGTTGGTGTTTTTAGGCTGCAGGTTGGGCCATCCAGCTGATTGAAGCAGATCAAGGAAGTAATGAAAACACAGTTGGTTTCTGCAATGCAGTGGAGAAGTAAGTGTTGGAAAAGCTTTTTTCAGCCAACTATCACATTTCACTTCCTCACTTTAATAGGATTGGTTATCCCTGTGTTTTGGGGCTGGCTGGGATGGAGGTAATTATCCCCTCACAGGGCTGGGGTATGGATGGTACATCAGTGTTTTGGCTACTGCTGAGCAGTGTTCATTATTATGGCATTTGTCTGAAGCCCTTCTTCCTGAAAAGAGGCTGGAAATTGCCTGCTGATTGGAAGTCGAGAATATTTTGTCTTCCCTTAATTATATGTGAGTCCTTTGCTTTTGTTTAACTGCCTTTATCTTGACCCAGTAGGGTTTTTTCCCCCCATCTTTTCACCCCCTGCCCCTGTGCTGAAGAGGAAGGGAGTAGTGGGCACCTGGCATCCACCTAAGGTCAGCCAACAATACCCTGCAGTCCTGAACAATGCTGCAATTCCAGCATCTACTTAAATAAGGAAACGCTTCTAATTTTGGTTTAAATTGTAAAAACCACAAAGGCACATTAATTCAAAAAATATTTAATCTTCTGTCTGCTTTATTTGTGATAAGTACATTTAACCCTTCACTGTTGATGGCTTATAGTGTGTGAAATGTCCCATCCTTTTTCTGTTGTTTTGGACAATATTACTGCCTGTGGAACTCTGGGCAGGAAAATAAGAGCTGGAGGAACTGATTGAGAACAGAATTGCTGCATACTTTCATGATGAAAAGTGAGACATAGCAAGTGACAAAACCTGCTTTAATTACGTTTTACCATTACACTTAACAGCCTGACTTAATGGCATAGAACATTTTTTACTTTCTTAATCTTCTGCAGAAAAATGAATGGTGCTGAAATCCAAGCACACAAAAATTTACAAGTATTTAGACCATCTGTGCAGATTGATTTTTCTTTTGTAGATATTCACTGATCACAAGGTTAGCACAAATGCACGCTTTCCCCCCCCCCCATGGAAAGTAATTGGAAAATGGCATTCTGATTTTGTTATTAGACTTTAATGAATTGATTTTATTCAAGGTCAGACAGGGCTGCTTCTCTTGAAAGAAAAAAAAAAAAAAAAGAACCAAAAAAAACCAAAAAAAACCAGAACAACCCAACCAAAAAACCCAGTTTGATGTTGCACTGAAATTAAGAGGAGTATATTATATATTCAAATGGGTTGGTCAGCTTCAAGGTCTCAGTTTCCTTTTCCACAGTTCATCAGCCTGAACCCCAACCCAGTTCTGCCATGAAATGCATGAAGGCACATTACACATGGCCGCTTTCTTCCCGGTTATTCAGATTTTTTTTTCAATGTCTAAACATTCTAATTATAGGAAAAGCTTTATATTGATTTTTCAGTAGATGAGTTTATTTACCGGGCTAAAAAGATAAATACGAATAAGTGATTCTTGTTTTGCAGGAGTTTGTTTTGTGCGTGTCACGAGCAAATACTCTTCAAAAGAAAATAAGAAGAGCTTTTGCTTTTCTTCTGTTAAATAAGTAGAGAAACAATTTAAGGACAAAATGTCACTGCAAACAAAAGACAGAAAAATATCATAAATTTTCCAATCACATATTCAGTCTTGCCAAATGAGCATCCTCCCAGTGCCCAGTGAATCTCTGTTGCTGGCAGAGGCAGGATGTATAATGCAGACTCTGTCATGCATTCTTGCAGCTCAGCTAGAAACACTGTGGTTTTCTCTAGGTGATACTTGCATGGGTAGCAGTCTGTAATTGAAGCATTTGGTTGTACAGGACTGTAAATCAGTCTTCAAAACCCCTTTCTCAGGTGACTTGTAGGACTGTGAGCAGAGCTGTAGTGAGCAGTCATCCCTGGCTGGTTTCAGAAGACATCCTAAAAGCAGATTCAAACCACAAGGTGCCAAGCTGGCAGTCTCAGGGTTCAGTGCTGCAAAATGCAGAGTTCTTCCACCTCTCAATGTCTTCAAGGATGTGCTTTGCACTGCAGGGAAACACATCATATTATGAAATGCTGTGAAATAGCAAATCACTATAAATGTCAGTACTTACTGCACGTGCTGAGTTGTTGCAGCACAGGAAGCAAGATTTTATTTGTGTAATGTTTGTATAACACTTCAGTTCTGCTTTGGAAGACCCAAATTTTAAAATTTTTGCAGTGTTTGCCCACCTGCTCAGACCAGAAACCCCCTTAATCACGTGTAGATAATAGGAGGCCATAAATGAGCAACACTCTTGGAAACTGAATGGGTTTTTCGTCTGAAAAGCGAATTTGTGTCCCCACATTTTGCTAAAATATTAGCAGTGTGTGGGTTGGAAAGGAGATGAGGTTTGCTGAGTGCCAGTAAGTTGAGGAGGTAATTCATGCACTGTATGTGTACATAGCCTGGTAATTTGAGACTGGGTAAAGGCTGGTGAGGTTTCCAGTTTGATTCAGTCTTGCAGAAACAAGTTACAGGGGAAAGCTGTTCCTTGTGCACAAAGAAAATAGACTGACACAACTACATGGGTCACCCAAACAGCCTCTGTAGTATAATGGTTTTGAACCATGAGTATAAATCTAACTTGTACTGGAGGTTCTCGTCAAGCCTCATTTCTTCCCACCCCACTGAAACATCAAGCCCCCTGGCTTTTCGTGATAAGAAATGACCTGCTTTGTTGGATTATTAATTTTGGAAGCCTAGCCTTTTTCCCCCCTTTTTTTTTCCCTTTCCCCCCCTTTTTTTTCCCTTCTTTTTTCCCCTTCTTCTTCTTTTTCTTTTCCCCTTCCTTTTCTTTTCCCCTTCCTTTTCTTTTCCCCTTCCTTTTCTTTTCCCCTTCCTTTTCTTTTCCCCTTCCTTTTCTTTTCCCCTTCCTTTTCTTTTCCCCTTCCTTTTCTTTTCCCCTTCCTTTTCTTTTCCCCATCCTTTTCTTTTCCCCTTCCTTTTTCTTCCTTTTTTTTCTCTTTTCCCTTTTTCCTCCCACCTCTTTTTTTCCCCCACCTCTTTTTCTCCCTTTTTGTTTTATTTTTTCCTTCTCATGCTGTAGAAATGCAGGGCACAAAAGAGTAGTTCACACAGTTGTTTAAGAGACTTGGGCAGCAGCTCTGAGGCAGGAGGTAACACAGCAGTAGAGACATTTGTGGGAGTGAGCTGGGGGTCCAAAATACACGTACCAGGGACATTACAGAGCACTCCCAACTCAGAAGCTACAAAATGAACCACCAAACAGAAGAGAATTCAGGATGCTCAGTACAGGATGTTTGGGTTTAGCTGCTAAATATTCAGGCCAATTAGTGAAGTGTAAAACTTCAGCTGGTACAGTATGTGCCTTTACCTGCAGCTGCAGAGTATATTTGCTTAAAAAGCCAGTTTAATCCCAGGTGATAGACATAATACCTGTGACCTGTGCTCATTAGGAAATGGGACCTCAGGAGGAATTAGTGTTTGCAAGTCTATGGTAATTGGAAGGACAAGGAACAATATATTTTATACTTAATGGTGTATCAGAGGGACTCAATGATTGCAGCTGTTACTGCACTTTACAGACTTTTACATAAATACCCAGGGTTTTAGTAATGAGGATTTCAGATTGAATTTGAGAGAGTTGTGGCAATAGACACTCCTTAAAATTTTGCATAGGAAGGATGTTTCTGTATTCATTTTGACCAGATGTCCTAGTTGCAGCTGTCTGTGCATGTGCTGTTGGCTAGTTCTGTGTTACAACTCTGTTATTTAAATACATATTTGAGCACAATCATTTCTACTGAGCTCAGTGTACACTAAGGTCTCTGTTTAAACTCCTTTTGGTTTCACTGAGGTCAAGCTCTGCAGTGGTTCTCTCAACTTCATGAAGATTTTGCTGCTGGTTTCCCTGAAACAATAGATGTAGTTATGTGTGCTGATATGTAGTTATCTCACTAATGCATGAAAACAGAGTTTGTGTTGCTACTCCACAGCTTTCTATGTATCACCATATGTACATTGTAGAATTTTTTGTTTTGCTCTTAGAAGAGGCCAAAACCACCTCTTTAGGTATAGTTTCTTCACATGTTTTTTCCAGAATCAGAAATGCCTATCCTGCTTTTGATTTGAAGACAAATACTGGGAAAATCTGGAGTATCACAACAAGGTTCCCAGAGCATATCCTGGGTGCAACAAAATTCAGACTCAGCATTTGGACAGATTTTTCACCACATCCTCTACTTCTTACACAACATGGTAAGTGGTCAAGGTTATGTACAGGGGAAGCAAATCAGGCATCAAATGAAAGGAGAAATTCCAACTAGGTAGGAAGAATCAAGGAGAATAATTAGAAATTGGAAGAGTTTGCCCATGAAGTTTGTGGAGTCTCCAGGCTTGGAGATTTTTAAGGTTCTACAAGACAAAACCCTGAATAAGGTGGTCTGAATTCAGTGCTAAGCCAGCTTTTCAGGGAAGTGGTTCTAAATTATTCTCTCATTAATGACTATGAGAAGCTGCCTCTGCTCCTGTGCATCCTGTATCTGTCATTAATGGGAGAATCTTTAATTCCAGCTCTAGTAATTTTTATTTCTGCAACATACACAAAAATGAAATAAACTATTTTCCCCCTCTCTTCCTATGTTACTTTATTAAATCATAGTCTTTTTCTTGTCTTTTTGTTTTAATTAATCAATTATTTAGTTTTCAAGGAATTGGTTGACTGTAACAGACTGAGTTGAATTATCTTGAACTTTAGACTAGGATAGCAGTAAGGTTGCAGTAGGAGAAATACTCTTTTGTCCCATCTAATGTAAAGTACTGTTCAGCTAGACAAGCACTTTTGGTAGAGTAAGGAAAGGAAGACAGATCTACAGAGTGGAAATGAGTGGTACTAGCAAGTTTGGAATTTTTTTTCCCCAGAGAGTGACCTGAAAAAAGTGCATGTTACAATTTTAATTCAAGATTTTTGTGCTGCTCTTTGTTTTCTGGACTGTGTAAATTCAGCCAACAAGCACTGAAGTTTAAACATCAAACCAGCTGAGTTTATTACAATGGCAAGTTCCCAGAAGGCGAAATTATTTAAACTGGTAAACCAGAAGAAAAATGTGTAATTGAAGTGTCTTTTTGAAGGGAAAAAAAAAAAGTCAAAACATTCTGCAAACAAAATTAACATTTTCAGAAGGAGCTTTTGAATATGTTTGTTTTTCCCTGGAGAAAACCAAACCAAAGCAAAAAAGCAAGCTATGTTTTATTTCAGCTTTATGTCATAACCCCCTCCCCTGGAAATGCCACCTGCTCTTTGAAGTTTTCCCATCCCCTTCAACAGAAGACCAGATTTAACAGACCTGTTTCTAGATTATGCAGATATTCTTTTCCATTTGTGATCAATTCTTCTAAAATGGACAGAGAGGAAGTGTATTGGCAGGTGTTGGAAAATGGCTTAAAAAACTGAAGTGAAAGTGGAGAAAATTCTCAAAATTCCAAAGTGTTTCTGAACAGCACGTTGTACAAACTGAAATAGCACTTCCTAATTTATGGGGATTATGTATATTTTTATACTATTATGTGGCTGCACGTGTATTAAATAATATCGTATTTTGCAGATATAAAATACGTTAGCGTATTAATTTACTTCTTTGTTATGGCTAAAAGGGTGTGCATAGCAGAAACAATTCCAAGTAATATTCTGGAGCCTTTTTGTGTCATACGTGGCTACAGAGTCAACTTTTGCATCATTGGAAAGGTACCAAAATGTTCATCAGGAAAATTAAAAAGAAATAATAATGCCGTTTGTCTCTTCCTTTCCTCCTGGGAATATTGCTCATCTCTTCTTCTTTCCAGCTGCCCAAGAAATTGCTCGTTTCCTCTAAATGGACATAGATCCCATGTCAGGTAGAATATTTGAAGCAAAATTTTAAAAAAAGATAATAAAGTCAAGTGTGTCTTGATCTAATTCCTCTTGATGGAGCTAGTCCGCAGCAGTTGTTAGGAATGACAGGAAAAAAAAACCCTTATTTTCTCTGCTCAAGTATGCAGCTTGCAATTCTCCAGCAAGCTACTATTAATTTTCCTTGCTATCTTTATTTACAGCTGGCTGTATCATTCACGACTTAATTGTGGAGATCCTCCGTTGCACAAATCAATACCCAGCCCGGGAGGAGGAATGCCTTCTGAGTGTTGCTGGGTCTGATGAATTCTTACAGAAGTAAGTACCTCATTAAGCCACGAGCCATGGAAACAGAGCCCTGGGGAGAGGTAGGGTGTCAGGTTCCAAACCCTCCATGTGTGCAGGAATCAGAAAAACAGAAACTTCCACGGACACTGAAGGGTTTGATCTACAGCCTTAGAAGGAGCTTGGATGGATGATTGAATACAGTACACAGGTATTAAGCAGAAAAATCAGAAACTTATATTTCTACAGTTGTAAGTGAGAATATGCCTTCAGTAAGTGAGAAACTGCATTGATAAGATGCTGAAGGGTTTATAATGTAGGGGTGTGGTTGTATAGAGTAGCTAAGAGTTTCGAAGTTGTAATAGACGCATATGTGAGACAGAAGCCATAGGACAAAAGTATCCACAGTGCAGCAGAAGTAAAGGTGATAGGTCAGAAAAGCAAAACAAATTCTGTGGCAACTGTCCATTGGTTTAGAAAGTCCTATATTGCCTTCTGATGAAGAAACTTGTGACTAAGCTATGGCTGACTGCCTGTTCCTCTAAAATCTCACAGCCTCTGAGACTGATGTTTATCTGAACCATGAATCGTTCTTAGCCTGAAAATAATCCCATCCCTTCATTTCTGGTGTCAACAATGATACCTGTTAGTTTCTGAAACTCCTGAAACACGTGGTGCGTGTGTTCTGCAGAGAGGATGGTGTGCTCCAGTGCAAGGATTCAAATCCTCTTTTGTGGAAGCTTTGTGAAGCTTTTAATTATTTGTTTGATTCTGTTGTCCTTCTGGTCTTTCCCATCTGTGATACAACACTGCTGCTACCTCCACTATCTCATGGGGTGTTATAAGCAACTCCTCAAAGGGAGAATTCATCCAAGAGTGGTATTTTGTATTATTTATTTATGCAATATCATGCAGCTGCAGAGCAGGTGATTTTTCTTCATATCCAGTTGCAGTAGTAGCAAAGCAAATGAAATCAGCAGTGTGAAGCTGAATGCAAGTTAAAAACACATTAAACATACAAGCAGGTCTTTCTGCATGCAAATAGTTTACAAGTAGGGAAATCAATGCACTGGTTCAGGTAAACTCTTGTGGTGGTTGAAAGCAGTACTGGACTCAGCTCGTTGTTTTTTGCCCTGTGGCAGCCTAAATTCAGGTGTCAGCCAAAGGGAGCAGGTTCTGTGTTGAAGCAGCTGAAGTGCAGGCACTTGTCAGCTGGGCTTTGTGGACACTGGCTCTCAGCAGAGGGGTTGGCAGTGTTCTGTGGTACAGACACTGCAGGAATCACAGCTCATCTGTTAGAGGTGTAAAAATTGTTAGGTAAAATAGTGTATGCCTGTAACTGAAAGGGAAGATTCTAGAATTAGTCATATTTACAGCAGAGTGTAAAAATTAAACGAATGAGCCTGGAGCAAGTCAGTTTGATTGATGAAAGCAATGCAGTTGTGAGAGCAAGTGTCACACTGTGGAAGTTAGCTTTGCTCTGTATCCATCTGGAGCACTTCTACCCTTACACAGGCACACAGGCCAAATGTTCATGTGTTCACAGTGGATTACATCTGGCAACTAAAGGTGCCAAGGTTGCCTCTACAACATTTCTAAGCCCACTCTTCCAATCTTGGTGAAGCAGGAGCTGGAAAAGCAAAGTGCTGTGTAAAGCATTAGAACACCAGAAGTACCAAGCAGAGAACCAGGTCATAGATAGATCTGTTAGCTACAGAAGAAGACCAGGGTATTTTGTGGGTTTTTTTTAACCTAAGATACTCTCCTAATTTCAAAGAAATTGCTAAAAAGTAGAAATAATGAACCATTGTACTGAGGATGAGCTCAGTGCAGTATGTGCTGAAGAGTTTTGTTTTCATTGCTGGGGAGAATGCATCAATAGCAGACTCTTTAAATTCCTGCACTTGTAGAATCTCTTCACGTCTCATTAGCAGAGAAATCATGTCAATAATGTTCTCAGCTTTCTTACTTTGCTCCTCCACTGTCATTCACAAAGCTCTGAGATGCACCAGAACTTCAGCAGCTTGTAATTCTGTATTGTGCTGTTAAATTCAGCCCCCTTTCTTCTGCCTCTTCAACAGAGCCCTGGATCTGAAATTTGAAATCCCAGACCCTAAGCATCCCTTGGGTAGCTTAACAGGGCCTGAGGAGCTGCCTCAGGGTGAATTTTTTTTCCTATGTGTGGGCTATCTTGAAGTGCAAATTGGTTTCCTCCCAGTGTTGCTAACAGAGTGATTTGATGCACTGGTGCACAGTTCTTCCCCAGGAAAATATTTGGAGTCAGTTCACGGATGAATTCCAGCAGAAGTTCCCCAAGTTCTAAGACAGCAAAGGGAATAAATACTCTACTGCTCCTGCTGTACTGTAATCCAGGAAAAAACACCTAAAGTGAAGGGAAAAAAGGTGATTTGATGAATTGTTCTCCGAGGAGAGTGCTTTAGTGAAGCAGACAGGTTTGTCAAAAGCTTTCATTTACTGTTTTATTGGATTCTGTTAATGAGCACTTCACCCCACCTCCTGCAGAAGCACCTGAAAGACTTGATGATTTTTAGAATCCATTTAGCTTTGAATGAGAGGGGGAAGAAAAACCACCTCTGTGCTAATGACCATTACACCCAGCACCAGCAGATTTCACCGTCCATCACTCCCTTCCTACTCAGAGATCCTCGGGCTCACATCCTGCCTGACTCATGAGTAGATCACATTTCAAATACCCAAATTTTAAAGATATCAGAAGATAGCATATAGACTGCAGGCCGGTCTGTAATTAACAGAGCCATCTGTAGAATTCTGATTTGGAATCTCTTGTTTTCAGGTATTTTTGCCATGGGAAACCAGACCTTGCTGCAACCTGCAGGTTTTCCTTTTTATCCCATCAAACAAACCTAGACCCACCTTTAAATCTTGCTCTCACACCTTCTTATCTTTCCTTAGATGTAGAATGGATACCCCTAATTATGATTTTATGATTCCTTTAAGGAAAAATATGATATAAAAGTAAATTGAATTGTGCTTAAACACTTTTTGTCAACTCCTGGCTCTTAATGGCAGCAGCTAGCCAAAACCAACCCTTCTCATCTGTCACCAATGAATCAATCCTCTATTATTAAAAAAAAAAACCAAACAGACCACAATCTCAGGTTGTTCTGAAATGCCTAATAAAACAAATGAGTGTCTATAAGAATGAGGCTGTTTAAAAAAATCTTCATTTTATTGATGTGTGTGCTAGCAGTAGGTTGCTGGCACTAGTAATGTGGATCACCAAAGGAATGTAGTACAAAAATAATTATAAGCTTTATTTCTAAACATCCTTTTATTCTAAGGTGTCAGAGTATTTAAAGTTCCATCCACACCCTCACATGGTATAATTTGCACAGCTACTTTATTGCTTTGCAATTCAGCCACCATAGTGAGCAGGGAAATGAAATTGAAAAATCTAAATTCTTATCTTTTCTTCTAACATGCTTGCTTGTGACCTTATTGATGACTTTTTTTTTTTTTTTTGTCTTACTAATTCTGTTCTCTGGGAATTGAAACCCAAGTAAAAATTGTTTTTCACTCAAAGTGAAAGTTTAAGCTATTAATTATAGACTGACATAGACATAATCATGCAGATTGAAATTATAAGAAGCAAGCACCTTTAGATGAACATGTTCTTTGTGAAAAGTAAACTTAATTTTCTCTTCTCTCTGTAGATTAAATTTCCTGTTCAGAGATGCTACTAGCTGAGTTACTTAAAAAATAGTCTGATTGAGCTGCATTAAGATTTGGAGCTTACAGCACATCAGAGAATCTTGCTGTGGGGAAGCAAGCAGTGAGGGAGTCTCAAATGATGGGGATTTTCCCTTTCTTGTATTTAGATATTTTGTGAGACCACAGGCAAGTCACTTGGATGTTGTGGTAACAACATCTCCTAAAGAAAAAGACTGTGCTTCTTCTTCATGGCACTCTCATCAGAGCTGTGTTCTCCATGTAGTTTCAGCAAAAAAAAATAAGGGGGGAAAACATTAACAAGGTTGTAACACTTGATTTTTGTTTCCTTTACAGAGCTCAGAGTGCTGTAAACCAGTTTGCAATAATCACGTTATCCTCCAAAGGGGATATAAAATTTTTATCTCAGTAGTACTCATAGAGTAGCAAATCTGCCTGGGGTACAGCTAAAAGGTACTTTGTCAATTTGTGGCAAAACTACACTTCTATTTCTTACAGCACTCTTTTCATCTAGACCAGGTTTCCACATTATTTTGTTGAGGCACTAATCCATTTTGTCTAGTCCCTTGTGTAACAATAGCTGTCAAAAATTTCTCTTTGTATTTGTGCAAATGAAATCCATTCATTAAGTCAACTGCATGGCCACTTCTGCTTGCAGTGTTTCAGGCATCATTGCTGTGTCAATAAAGACTTTGCTGATGGATAGTATCTGCTTGACACAGCAGAAACTAACTCAAACCACTAATGTAAAACCAGTTATTACAACCAAATTAAGTTTCTCTTGGTGTAGCTTGTTTTGCCTGGAAGCATGGTGACATGGAAAAATTATACTTGGAAAAGATAGTTTTTATATATCAGTGGTTCAAGATTGTTACTTCCTAGGAGGGTACAGCTCCTCTGTATTTGTCTAGCTATACCAGTTCCAGTCACTGGCATTGCAACAGGAATCTGTATCCTGGAGGAATCAAGAAAAAGTTACTTAGGACTCACAGATGTCTCTTTAATATTCTTGTTACTCTTCCTGTCCACAGGCTGAAGGTGGGGCAGAATGAAAAGAGCAAGAACAATAGTGAGACATTAAATAAAAAACATGTGTTGGGGTAGGTCTAAAATGTTAAGGAAACTTCCCAGTCTGTCCAATTATGGGGTTCTCTGGCAGTCACTCTCCCTTCATTGTGAAAACAATCTGCAGCTTGCACTGCACCAAATGTGTTCCTCAACCAGAGGGGATAATGATCATCAATGATCATCAATGAGCACAATCTGCAGCTTGCACTGCACCAAATGTGTTCCTCAACCAGAGGGGATAATGATCATCAATGATTCCATCATTTCAGTGATGGGGCAAACACAACTGGGTGAAATGAGGAGTGGAAGAACTTCCAGGAAAGCTATGAGTAGGCAGAGCACAGAGATGAGATGAGGAACAGAAGAGAATGGAGGCATTGGTACAGCCCCAGGAACTGGGAATTGGCCACTTGCACTTGAGCTCTGAAAAGGGATTTAAGATGGGTTTAGCTATAACAGGGATATGCTTTGCACCAGTATGGGCATTTCACTGTGTTGGTGTTCACTTCTCCCACTCTTACATCCATACTTTCTGCTCTTGAAATCAAGAAATTTTGCAGCTGTATGGAGGTACTATCAAAGGTGATCCTTGCTTCAGATATTTTTGTCAGATGGAAATGAGTTTGTCACTTGTGATGTTTAATATGTTTGTTTAAAAAAAGAATCGTATATATATATATACACATTTACATTTTTAACCTCAGTGGTGAGTCTGTATTTTACTTAGCTACAGCATAGTGTGAGTGCAGAACATTTACAAGATGTGTAAGTTCCCTGTAAATGTGCTGAATGGCATTTAAGTTTATCCATTCATTTCTGCTGCCGTGTGGGAGAGGACTCTCATCTAAGTCAAATTTTCCATTACTTATTCACAGGGGTGAATGCTTATTCACAGGGGTGAGCATTTTGGCTTTGTTTATTTTTTTTAACTAAATCCAGCCCTTTTTATTCAGACATTCCATCAAAAGCCCTTTTAGGTAGAAATACAGTTTACATTTAAACCAAGTTTTTCAAGCCAAAAAGAAATAAGCCCTTCCTTCGTGGCCCAGGGAGTTCTGAAACAACTTACCATGCTGCAAAACTGTATAAATATGGAATATCCTTTTTTGTGCTTCTGTGGTTGAAGGCTCAATAAAGCCTCCAGAATCTAATTGAATGCACATCAAGGTTGTAACTGATGATGCATACTAGCTTGTTTTGGTGATGAATTTACCTTTGTAAAAATCATTGTTGTTTTTCTATTAACCCCAAAGGACTTTTTCAAATGTAAAAATATGTTTTGCTCAACCCTGAAATATTTTTTTAATTATTTCACCTCTTTAAAACAAGATGTGAAGGGTAAAAAACAAAATTATTTTTGTTCCAAGTGATTTTAAGAACGACAAACCAAGTCTGTGTTCTAATTTAGAAAAGGTTGCCAAGAGTGGTGAATGGAAAGAGGTAAATAAGATTAAGGAACTGCTCTGTCATGGGCTGCTGGACCATCTTTGACCAGCAGCTTAGTTTGTAGGATACATGCCAGCTGAGTGAGTCTGATCTTAGCTGGCACATGATTTGAGAAAGGAAAAGATGAACTCTGCTTTTGCCACCTCTGTGTGAGCTGCACAGGGTAAAAAACTAAGTTGAGAATCAAGGGTTGCCTGTCTTGATGTATGTGGTTTTCAGACCTACAGCTAATATTTGATTTTTGAGTTGGGTAGCAGACACTACAAGTCATTCTGCAGTGGTGCCCTCATAACCAGGATACTGCCCTTTTTGGGTGTGAAGAATATGCATAAAAAATATGGAGTTTGGGATATAGTCAAGGATATTTTCTCTGTGTCCTTGTTGTTCTGTTTCAGAACTTAATGGTCAATAATACAACTAAGCAATTATTATTTGTTTTACTAGAAAACATGCCAGAACCATCAATTTCCTCAGAAGTAGGTGCCAAGAACTGGGTTTGTATTATTGAGTCTTCTTTGCACTTAGAATTTAAACTACTAGTGCTTTTAGGGGGGAGGTAGCAAGAATAAAAAAAGGATGTGGCAAGCAGAGATAACCATTTATTTGTTGTTTTCCCCCAAACTGCAGCAACTGTACTTTGGGAAGCCATGAAAGCCTCCGCAAGGCGAGCACCTGCATCCAGCTTCGCCTGCACCACGCTGGTAATTTGGAGCACAGTTTGGCTAGAACAGTAAGTAACCTTCTTTTCTTCCCCTTGCCCTTCAGCATCTTTTCCCTGAAGGAAAGAAATTCCACCAATCCCTTTACTTAGCAACCTGCAGTAATAATCAAAGAGAGATTATTTGCTTTCCTGAGAATGCATATATTATTGCTGAACTGCAGCTGAAATGTCCTGGAGAGCACTTGTGCTTTGCTCCTGTACTTATAACCAGAGAACAACTGGAGAGAGCACATGACTAAAAAAGACCAAGGGTTACTTTTACCAAAAATCACTTTTGTCAGAATTTAATCCTGTTTTATTTCAGGTAGTCAGAGAATTCTTACTTTTTATTTACTTCCAGCCCTAAGTTTGCAGTCCAGCAGCAGCTCTGCTCTGGGCAGTGTTCACTGGCAGTGTGTTGTCTCTTTGTTTTACCTGCTTTGCATGGCTCTGATAACAGCCTGAGTCTCTCAGTGTGTGGGTCAGATGGCAGATGTCTAGCAAAAAAGGGTAGGGGCTTTCTTTTCTTATCTGTTTTGTCAGAAGGAAAACCTAAGTGAAACATCAAGCTCAATGCAGTGTCTTACCTGGACCATTAAAAAAGGACTATGATGTCAAATTCTTTAATGTGCAATATATAGATAGAGATATTTAACATTTTAACCAGTTTATAGATAAAAAAGTTATTTATCTTCTCTAGGTCAGCATCTACTACTGTACATCTTCAAAACTGGAACCCAGTTATATGTTTAGGAGTCTCTTTGGAAACTTCAAATCTTGTTTCTGTGCTAAGGAAGCCCAACTCTACATCAAGGGCAACTGGAGGCTGCCTTCATTGTGCTTACCTTACATAACACTGCTGAATTCAGGTTGCATAGTTAAAAATATCTGGTTGCACGTGCAAGTTACTATTATGTTTAATAACCAAACTAAGTGGATACTTACAAGTAATGAGCAACTTTTTTTTTTTTTTACTAGATACTTTTTGAAGTTTGGTCAATAATTAGATGTTTGCTATTCCTTTGTTTAAAAAAAAAAGTGAATATTTGCTTTCTTTCCTTTTATTGGAAGCTGGCATTCTATTATGAAGTACTCAGAAATTTTCTTCAGCTGATCAGTTACAAGCAAGAAATTTAGCCAGGGGCTTTACATGGAATCACAGTTCTTTCCGTTAGTGGGTGGCTTTTAATTAGATTTTGGTTTTTTTTTTTTAAGCCATGACATTTATCAACTTTAGCACACTCTGAAATTCCAGGGAATGCTCTGCCTATCTTATTTTTTTCAGTGTTTCAGGATTTCAGATGTCCCCACATTCTGATCATCTCAGGAAAGCATTAATCTTTATAATGGACAGCAAAGAATACTTACGGGTTTCTAACATCACTTGCTTCCAGAAAAGGATTTTTGAACTAAAGCACTCAGGAAGAGGTATTTCCTGAGAGTTCAAGAATTTTTTTTATCTCTATCAGTGTTAATATTTTGCCAGACGTAATGATTTAGAAGTTAACCTTGTGAGCAAAATCACAGATGAGAGAAGTCAGAGGCCTGTCATGATGAGGTGGTAAAGATTTTTCCTTTATTTAAGTATTTTTAGCTTTCTGAAGGGATTCTGCAGATCAGGCCATTAGAAAACATTCAGCATCTCAAAGAATTTGTGGACCCCACAGTAGGGTTTAAGTGGGAAGGGTGACATTTTAAGATCTCAAAGTGAATTATTGATCACCTCTTTACAGGGACAGACAGGGCTCTGAAAGCTTCAGGCCATGAAGTTATTTCATGTTGCTAATAATAGCAAAGGGCACAAGCAGCCCTTGAGGTGGAATAAGTCACAGACACAGAGTTTTCCCCAAGCTCCAGGGCATGCTTGTGACAGGGCACTGGAAAAAAAGGAGAGGTTCTGCTCACAGCCAGCAAGTCTATCAGGACCAGAAAAAAAAAACCTAACAGAGGAGACAGAGTGCCTTGACAGCTGCAGTGTGTATTTTATGCGTTTCTTTAAGTGTACTGAAACATGCTCAAGCCATGCTGAATTCAAGGATCTGATGTAGTCTACACCGAGCTCACAGTTAATTTTGTTGTTGCTGTTTGGTAAAACATGTGGCTGTAAAATGCATTGCAAAGTCACAGACTGAGAGTCAGGTTATGGAAAACAAATTCCTTCCCTCAGAATTCATATGAAAAGAAGTAAAAATTATGTTTTTAAAAATCAAAAAAAGGAAACTTTGGGGTTTTTAAGATTCTTCAGCTATCTCAGACACTTACGTACATACACAGCTGTTTATTTTTGTGAGATAATGTGCTCTTGAGGGGAACTTCACCTCTGATCTACATGATCCTTCTAAATTTTGAAATATGGAATATGTTTCATTATAGAAGTCTCCACTAAGTTTGTAGTTTAACTAGTTTCACAAAAGCATGAATATCTTGACAGATCTTGTATATAATAATCACCCATATGTAATCAGGTACTAAATAATTCACATAAACATGCCTGTTGCTGTAATTCATCAAATCCTCTTTGGATCCTATAAATCACACATATGTGATTCTTCACAGGCTGGGTGGTCAAACATAAGAAATGGGTTCCCAGAAAAGTGGCTGGTGCCTCATGTCTGTCAGTCCCTCGGGAAGAAGCATTCTGACAATGTCCTTTGTAATGAGCTTTTCATTCTTGGGCTGCCCTGAAGAGGTGAGGTAGATGGACTAGGTGAAAATTGTAGGTCCCCACCAGCTAAACTGTGTCCTCTCTCCCTGTTCCATTACATCCCTGCTCCATTTCCTTGTGTCCTCCCTGTAAATTGCAATAATATTGACTAATGGTCAGCTGGGACCTCCTTAGACTGTACCTTTGGTAGAGAACTGAGAGGATCCAGCCATGAGATATCAGCTAGGTCCTTTAGCACTCGGGAATGAATCCCACCGAGGCCTTGTGGACCCAGAAGTATTCTTTGGTCATGAAATGCACATCGTGGAAAGGACTGTGCAGTTTATTGGATGAAGTAGTCTCAGGGCCTGGGTGCCGAGGTGACCCTGAGAATGTAAAAGTCTTCGTTTCCCAGCCCGTGCAGCCAACAAAGAAGTCTCAAATTAGTAGGATCAGCTTCTCAAAGTTATTTATTTTTCCTTATCTATTCTTTCTCTGACCTGCTGAGCTCTGTCTAGCAAGTCAGCCGTGGCATTCTGTCAGCTCCCTAGGGTGGTGCTTACATTTTATACCAAAAACTACATGTACTATGTTTACAATATTGTGCCAGTATCTATCATTTATGTTGGACAGTGTGTCTCTACCTTAAACCAATAGAAAAGTGTCACCACTACACGAAGACATGGAGTGCAAAGAAGAAGGAAAAAAAGATCAGGTCACAGCCAAATCCCTCCATCTTGTCCCCCTGAACCCCATTCTAAGAAGCCCCACAATTCTACTTTTCCACCCTGTGTTAATTCAACTATCACACTACTCAAACCCTTGTGGTTTGTAATTCCTCATACAAAGTTGGCAGTATTTTCCCACAGGCTAAAATCCAAGCCAAAGGTGTTTTTGAGTCGAGACAGCCAGGGCAGCCAGAGGGATGTCCTGGATTCCCACGAAGTAGAAGAGGGGGTTCTGAGAAGCTGGGAATGGGCATTGGAGGGTCCTGGAGCTTCCTCCTTCCTCTGGACACTGTCGGTGCCATTGGCCCTGCTTCTGGGTGTTGAGGACTCCCTCTGACCAGTGCTACAGCACTGGGTGTCTCACAACCAAAGGAACTGGGGCTGCCCTGGGGGTGAATGGTGGAAATGCCCAGATCCTTCAAGAAGGAAAGCCTCCCAGCTGCCGAGGTGGAGATTCCTCCTCCCATCCACCTCTGCTGCTGAGAGTGCATCTCCTGAGTGTTCACACTGCCTGGATGTGCTAGGGCTGGGAAAAAATCCTGGGCTGACCCAGCTGGCACAAAATGCTGGGTCATCTGTGACCCACTGCTGGGTGAATCCATGGTCAGATTAGACCCATAATTGGTGATGTCATCATCCAGCTGCTGCACTAGATGATTGCTCTAGATCCTTGGCAAATGGGCTGTGCTCCTTTTTCTTCCCCTTTCTTTCTCTTCTCTTCTCTTCTTTCCCTTTCTCTCTCTTCTCTTCTTCCCCTTTCTTCTCTCTCTTCTCTTCTTCCCCTTTCTTCTCTCTCTTCTCTTCTTCCCCTTTCTTTCTCTTCTCTTCTCTTCTCTTCTTTCCCTTTCTCTCTCTTCTCTTCTTCCCCTTTCTTCTCTCTCTTCTCTTCTTCCCCTTTCTTCTCTCTCTTCTCTTCTTCCCCTTTCTTCTCTCTCTTCTCTTCTTCCCCTTTCTTCTCTCTCTTCTCTTCTTCCCCTTTCTTCTCTCTCTTTTCTTCTTCCCCTTTCTTCTCTCTCTTCTCTTCTTCCCCTTTCTTCTCTCTCTTCTCTTCTTCCCCTTTCTTCTCTCTCTTCTTCCCCTTTCTCTCCCTTCTTCCATTTTTTTTCCCTGGGATAAATCCCACCAAGGCTCTGTGGATTTAAGAACATTCAACTCCTGCACCTGACCCCTTACAATTCCAGTATCCACAAAGGGAAGGTCATGGTTGCTGTAGCTGTGCTCCTCCAGCTGAGAGGATTGAGAAGGTTTATCAGTAGTTTTAAAGGCTGAAGAAATCAAGTCCCAAAGTCCTCTGCTTTTTCTGTACACCCATTTGCCAATGGGACCATCTTTGTCAATGCAGATGTGCTCTTTGGACACTCACTTGCTGCTGACATACTTAATAAAATACCTTATTTTCAGGCACAACAAAAGCTGCTGGAAGAAATACCGAGGTCCCTCAAGTGGCAAAGCCTATCAGCTGCCCAGGGTGATGCTTCTCCTCACAGCTCACCTCTAACTCTGCATCATCTCTCCCTCTGGCCCACCTCAGTGTGGAACCAAAGCAGAATTGATGCATGCCTTAGGCCACCTTGTCTGCCTTCATGTTTCCCATGTAGGCAGGGCACTGGAATATGCTGCTGCCTCCACTCTCCCTGCCAGAGGGCACATCCTGTTCCCACACTGAATCTAATTTAAGCTTCTATTTCTAAGTCCAGCTAGCTTGTTTTCCTGAATGCTCTTGACCCCACTGGTACCTGTACAGTGCCAGCCAGTGTAATGTAAAATATTCACCAGACAAAATTTCAGATCAAAACATCCTGAACACAGTTGAGAACATTCTGACTTTGGAAGATACAATGTAAATCTCTCCCATATGCATTCTTCTTTATCAGAGTAATGTATGTCATCATACACCTCTCTTCCACAGTGTGGGGATGACCAAAGAAGGTTCTGTGTGAATGAGCTGTTAGAAGACACTCATGCCTGGAGACTGATTTGGTAAGCTGCTATGCAACAGTATTTATGTTTGTAATTGTTTATATTTGTAGGAAGCCTCCTTGCACCAGAGGACAATTCTGAGAATTACTGGGGACAGGAATGAGACCAAAAAGACAATTGTTTCAATATTTCAGACTGTTTCTTTTAAGACCTTAGTTGTTGCTTAGCAAAAGTCAGTGTTTTTCAGATCTGTGTAATTCTTCCCAATTGTTTCCTTTTCGTATCACTGAAGCTTTCATTAAAGGTTTCATTTTTCCCAAAGTTTCCCATGATTGAAGGTGTCAAAATGTTCATGTGTGCATTGCTGTTAGAGAATTTTTGAGATGAAATATTATAAAAATAATAGGTTTGCTCTTCATTAGGACTATATTTTCACAGTTCAGTGATCTTTAAACCTTTTTTCTTTTTTAATGGAGGCTAACTATGATGAGCCTTTTACTTGGCAGTCAAAATGAAGCTGATTGTAAAGCCAGTCTGTGATGGACAAACACTAAATGAGATCGATTCCTCATTCATTTTTAATTATATTCCATTTAGATAAATTCAAATTCTAGATAAGGAAGCTGTTGACACTTTTTGCCATGTTTTTTATCACTGTGTTATAAAGTACTTTGCCAACAACAGTAGACTTAAATGACACACCTGTCACCTAGCATATGGAGGAAAACAGAGGGGTAGTGACTCGTTTGAGGGGGTACCTAGTGCTTACTGAGGACCTATTTGGTTACCTAGGAGCATGGCCTAAATTTCCATTCTGGTCCTTGCTCTAAAGAGACATGTATTTTACAGATGACAAGTGTATGAAATTTAGGAGCACAGAGGATGTCTGCAGGACAGGATCATTGGCTGTAGGTCCTTTCTCTCCAGGCTAAGCAATCTCATCTCTCTCTCCCCATTAGAACTGTGCTCCAGACTCATCCCCAGCTCTGCTCCCTTTTCTGGACACACTCCAGCACCTCAGTGTCCTTCTTGTTGTGAGGGGCCCTGTGGCAGGTACATTCTTCTGGCTCTCAGGATTTTCATAGAGGTGCACAGAGAGAAATGAAAGAGAAAACAATTTCTATTTCTGCTCCTTGTTTTTCCCACGTGGAATGTGTTTGGAGATTTGTTTACCTGGGGTGATTGCTTGATTGGATTCTGGTGAGGATTGTTTGAGCCTGATGGCCAACCTAATCCACCCGTGGCTGGACTCTGACAGAGGGTCATGAGTTGTTAGTTAGATATGATAGTTAGAACAAGTAGGTTTGTAGTTTTAGTATCTCCTTTAAGTAGTATATTAATGTATTATAGTATAGTTATAATAAAGAAATCATTCAGCCTTCTGAACTGGAGTCAGACATCATCATTTCTTCCCACCAGGTTTACCTGCATTTACAATATATATAATACATTTACAACTCTGAAGCCAATCACATGAGACCAGCTCCCAACAATTCCATTTACCACAGCCCAGGCATGCATTTGGGCACTCTTTAGTGAGGCAGAATGGTGATAAAAACAGCATTTTAGAAGGGGAACCTAGTGTTTCTCCATAGTAGGTGCTACTGTCAGGAGTCTGAAAGATGAAAGTTGCAAGTACATGCTATGCACTTGTCATCCTCCTCCCATATAGACCAGCTGGGAGCTGAGACTGACTCTCCTGTTTGTGCTTTTCTTATTTCCTTTTCAAAACTCTTGCACCATGTTGACTTGCTAAAAGCTAAAAAGAAAAATGTCCTTAACATCAAAGAAGTAGTAAATGTTCACAGGTTGGTTAGGCTTGCCATATTTATACGCAGCTATAATGATGCACAAGTGTGAAGTATGTCTGTGTGATAAGATATAGGTATTATTAGTTATCTGGCAGACAAGGACTCAGGATAGAATTAGTAGGGGTATTTCAATCATTATTACAACTTGCTGTGTTTGTTTCCTATTAATGATGTAAAATTATGGCTACTTTCTGCCAAAAACTCTCCAGGGGAAAATAAACTGATGGAAAATATGCTAATTTTTTTGAACTAGCATTGTAATTTAGGAAATTATTCTGCATTTTAACCTGCATTTTGACCAACCATGCTAATAAACATGGTCACCTCCATGGAAAAAGACAGCAAGGCAAGCTCATATGTTCAGATATATTTTTGAGCTGGGTAAGGCTGTGAAAAAGATGTTATGCCTGAAGACTCGGTCAAAGCAGAGTGACAACTTGTATTAGCTATGATTTAACAGGATTACAGGAGGAATTTCCAGGCAGCTGCTCCACATACAAACTGCCTGGCTAGATAAAGCCAGTGCAGATTGGAAATAAACAGCTGTAAAGGCAAAACTACCTGTAGGAGGAAGAGAATGGTTGGCATCTCCAGGGAAATGCACTGTGGTATCAGCACAGGCAAGGCCACCTATCTTTTCTCTGTTCTCTGTGGTTATTTCAGTGCAATGAGTCTCCTCTTCTTGCCATGCAATATAGATAATGAAAATCTAATCAAGTACCATGAAACCTGCACTTTGGGCTGCAGCTGCAATTCTAAATTCTGATTGCTCAGTTAGCCCAGCTGAAATACATGAGGATACACACAGTTGCTCTGCAAAGAGTTGATTTGCTTTGAAGCTCTGAAAAAAAATCAAAATAGTTTTGGGACTTTCAGCTACCAGACTGCAATAGGCATGGAAGAGTGGGGGGAAATTTCTTCTAAGCCTTCTTCTGAAGAGGAAGAACTTGACTAAAAGATTGATGTGGGTTATAAGAATACAGTTAAAAAGGCAAGAATAAGGGGGTTGAGTAAAACAAACAACAAAGGAGGAACTTAAATTGCCATTTCCGTTTTTTCATATAAACATGTGCAAACCCCAACTACCTCTGATGGCCATCAAGGTAATGTGTCCTTTTTACTAATCAGAGGGCTAGGCTAGGTGAAAAACTGGGAATTAAGGTTTCCCTAGCCTTTCCTGATGATTTGACCCTACAGAGGAGGCTTGCCAGGATGATGCCTTAGCAATGGTCTCACAGGCACCTTTTTTTGTTTTGTTCCAGCTGACAAATGAAGAACAGCAAGAATTTCAGTGCTTAAAACTGACAATGACACAAATGCTTCTTAAAAAAAAATCGGATTCTGGTTATCTGTGGGGGATAGCACTTGGAGACTGTGGTTGTAAAAGTGTGAGGTTTACAGCTGAAGCATCAGTTGAGGAGTTTAGTGGAGAGAGGTGTATGCTCCTCTTGATAATCCCCAATTAATTTAGTGAAGCTTTGCTAAGACTCAGCAATCTGCCTGTACAAATTTTGTGGCAGCTTCTGTAGCATGACAAAGGCATGGAACCACAGAGTGGTGAGTGGCTTCTCTACAGAAGTAAAGCAAATTTTACTGCTTAGGAAATGCTGTGGGAAGGCAGGTGCTGAAACAGTTTGAGCATTTAAACTTGAGAACTGCATGCAAATAAAGTTCCATAGGTTATGTAGCAATGCTGTCCTGTTTTATAACATGCTTAGTACTTGTGACTTAGCTTTGGAAGTGCTGAGATTTTTTCCAGATCTTGTGCAGATGTTTTATCTGATTTTATGCAGCTTAAGTCTATAAAGTGATTGAGAAAGAAGGCATTGGATCATAAAATCATCAAAGTTGGACACAACCTTTAAGATGATCAAGTCTAGCTCTAAGAATGTAGCATGTACTTGAGTCCATCCTTCTTTTAGGTAATATTTAAGTACTTGTTTAACCATAAAGAGTAATATAACTGGGAAGTGAATTTCAGTAGACATTGAAACAGCAAATCACTTATTGGAGTTCTTTGTCTTGGGAAATGTGTATATTCATGTACAAATAGAATTTTTACATCTATTCTTTGTGGCAAATGACTAGCAAAAACCCAGGGACATCCAGGCTCAATTGCATGATGTTTGCATACACACTTGGCTTTATTTTATACTAATACACAATCTCTGTCAAATTATTTCAAATGTCTAGAATGTGGAAAAAAAAACAAGAAAAAACAAACCCAAACCAGTTCTTTTGATCTGAATCTTATTAATTTGATGTTGTTTCCTTTTTTTCTGATTCCTAGGCAGAACCTTGTCTCTGTTATTATGAACTACAGAGGTCAAGTGGAATATCTGCTGCAAAATGAGGTATTTGTTCTCAGTTTGTTACACCAGAAAAAGCATTAACTTCTACATGAAAGGTATCTAATTATTAATCTGCCTTAGATGCAATTAAGGAAGACTTTTAATTAAGGCTGCTTAATCTGACTTGGAAAGGATATAAATTCTCTTCATAAAACTCAGTCTGAGGTTAGGAAGAAAGTGCTACAAATTTAAGATATCAAAGGTGACTGTTTCTACATGTCATGCAACTTGTAAATAACACCAGAGTTGTTTGAGTTGCCAATATAATGCTTGGAATTAGTAGAGGTATAATGCATTATATGGTTTTGCAAAATTTGTCCCTGATTTTGCAAACCCCCAAGCCTAATGTTGACATATTTAATATATATATATATATATATGCAAGCGTGTGGTAGTTTGAAGGATTAGATTTAGCCAGCAAAACTCCCAAGAGCTTTATTTCAAAGCATTGTGGGCTGCCAATTGAATGCTACATGCATGAAGGAAAAATCTTTTTGTGAAATCGCTGCTGTCCAATGTTTTAAGGACAAATGTCTACAGGACAAATTGAGTCATACCTTGGAAGAAACCACATGTTTATTTGATCTGACTTCCAAGCTGGCATGACAACTGATTTGCTCTGACTTTCAAGTTGGCATGATAACCGATTTTCTAGGGTTTAAAACTGGAAAGAACAAAATATTTATAAAAATCAAAGAATACTGATGTAGCATGGAGATATTCCAGTGCATCCCTCCCAGAGTTATAACTCATTATGCTAAATTATGGATTTCTTTGAAATATATGTTACAACATAAAATGAATATTTTGCTTCAGAATTCTGTCATCTACATTGAAGTTCAGAATTTATTCTCTCTGGATAGTCTGGATCCATTATTATTTCTATTTTGAATTGCCAGAAAACATACATTAGCATACAAATTTTATACATATACACACATGTATAGAAATCCATCTAAACATACAGACACATACATGAATGAGTATATATCAATAATATATAATATTTATAAATACATAGTGTAGATATATACAAACACTTTACATTTGGTGTAAGATTTTGACGCTTTTTCAAAATGCAAAACACAAATTTAGAGGCTGTTGCACTGTGCCTGGCTACAAAGTAAAGCTCTGGGTCTGATACTGTGCAGGTATTTGCAGAATTTTCCTTTGTAAGCATCATCTCAAAGGGAAGTGTTTAGTGTATAAAATGTGATGCAGTCATAACCATTTGGAAAAGTTGGGTCCCCAAGCTCAAATGCACATCTATATTTCTTCACTGAAAGAGACCCACCAGGGTAGTTATTTACATTCACTTGAAATTTTAGGGCCTAAAGCAAGAGGATTCTAAATTCAAAATAAAGCCCTAACTTCAACATTAATGAGACTTTGCAATCCACCCTCTGCAACTAACACTGTGCAGATATTCCTCAGACTATAATGAAGCATTCCTAAATTTGTTTTTGCTAAAGATTTTTATGCTGGGTAAGCAATTTCTTGAAACCATTAAGTTTTTATAAAGAGAAGGAAGTACATTTTTCAAATATTCATACCATCCAAGGGATGTGTGTGTGTGTCTAGAGCTGAATTTCTCTGTAGTTAATTTTTTTTAATAAGGCATTTTCGACTTAGTGACACTGAATATGTTCACTGAATATGTTCATATGAATTGCTTAAAAGAGCGGGATTGCAAGTTAATGGTCTAGGTCATATAATGGATATTTTCATTCAGAAGCATGAGTGTATGTAGACTTTCCAAACCTAGAATCAAGCAGTATGATTTGCTTTAATTAGTGGCTCAAAAAATGATGGAACTCTAATGTAATGAGTAATATTTATAAATATATAGTAAACAAAACAAAAAATGAGAGCCCTTCATTTGGTCTTTGAATCCTTGTTTACTTATTTTCTCTAACTTCTGTTTAGATTGCTTAAAGAAGGTCTAAAACTGGGGTCATTATGACTGCCCCTTTTCCCAAGTCTGCACAGGAGTAATTCTGTCATTTTTCAATCTATTCCTGCTTTTCCAAACTATTCCCATTCCCAACTGGCATTGTTGTTATACCTCTCTGGTTCACCACAACTCACCTTCAGCACACTCTGAAATTTAAGACACTGGGAGCTGCTTACAGATTGTAAATTAAGTGCACAAGTAACTGCTGAAGTTCTGTCCTCAGCTGGATGTTCCTTCAGCATTCAGTTTTAACCAGACACACCTTGAGATCCTCAGTTGGGAAAAAAAAAATAAATTAGTTTTTTGCACATTTTTCTAATTATTTGCAGATTTAGTCTTCCGTAGATATGGGGATACCAGTACTTTTGACTTATGGGACAAACTCACTATTGTTATTAACCTAATTAGTAATAATGATAAATAAATGGAAAATTAATTTTGAGATTGATAATGACTGTATAAAACAAAATTTCAGAAAGATAATTAGGATGTCTGGCACAAAGATGGGATTGGTGCTGTTGGGGTTGAAATGTAAGTTTTGAAATGTTATTTTCAGACAATATGTGTTGTCAAATAAGAAGCCAATTTGGATTGCCCTGACAACCACTTTTTATACACTTCATTTGAAATCCATTCAAAATGCACTTTACTGTAGAGAGGACTTTGTAAATTTTTTATAAAGTGTTGAATTTCTAGAATGAAATAACATTTTTTTAAATCATATAAATTATTGAAACACCAAAATATTCTTCTAAGGTTCTGCTGTATTTAAATATGTAGAAGGGGGGAAAATTACAAGCTGTTGACTGTAGTTCCTTTGGAATTTCAGAAAATGTAAAATTTTTGTAAGAAATTAATCTCCATCTTCCTTTCTTTGGGACAAAAATCAATGTCATGTATCTACACATGAAAAAAGAGAAAAAGAGGACTCTTTACATGATAATATCCCAGCAGAGAAATAGTGTGGAAAAAGTCATCGTGTGTAGTATTTGGTATCACATAATTTTATGTGCTAGTTCTTCTTCATCTGCAATATGCTCCTTACAAGTAGCTACCATAAAAATAAAGTGTATGGTAAAGCAGCTTCTATAAATATTAATACTTTGATACTTTATCCATAAAAAGAATAGCATATTAAACAGAAATGGATACATTCCTCAAGACACCAATTCTCTTTATGCAATAGCATTTATATGTGCATGCAAAAATACATAAACTGTGGGTGGGTTTGGGGATTTATTTTTTGTTTTAATTTTTCTCCATCCAGAGAGCTGTTTCTCTACTCAAGGGTTACTTTTGTGTATGTCTATTACTCGTTACTGCTCAGAAATTACCCTGCAAATCTGTATTTATAGGCACAAAACTCCTCCTTCTAATAATACATCTCTGCTTGTGAAGAAGTAAAATGCTCAAATTAAAACTTATTTAAATCAAATGCAATATTAGAATGATATTTAGTATTAACTAAAAAGTCTATATAGTAATTTATGTATATATAGACACACACATATAGTCACTTATTTCTTCAACAAATCAGACTAAACCAGCATTTACGATGTTTTGGACTTGTCAGGGTTACACATAGCAAAGCCATACCACTGAGCAGTCAATCAGCTTCAGCCCAAGGGAGGTCTAAAATTCTCAAGAGATCAGTCAGTCTTTTCCTCTCTAGAACCTGTAGTGTGAAAAGGTGTTTCTGTCCTTAATTACTAAAAAAAAAACCAAAAAAACCCAAAAAAACAAACAACTTATGGTTAAAAGAATCACACCACCAGGTATTTGTGGATATTTCACATGATTTCTTCCCACTTTAGTTCTGCTCGAAGGAGGTAATGGGGAATTAGTAAGCTCAATATATATTTATATTTATTTGTAATAATGGCAGGTGTTGACCTTCTCAGTACAGTCTGTGCATAAACCTTGAGCCTGAAAACAGAAAGTTCATCTTGGTACAATTTTTACTTTTCAGGCATGAGATGCATGAGGTAGAGAAATGGTTTTATGGGTACTATAGTCCACGTGCTATAGTGCACTAAAAGGAACATTTATCAGCACAGGAACGTGGAGAGTATTTATAGGAGAGCTTCTGCTTGTTCGGAGAATGTATTTTAAGGTTTAATGAAGTGACATAACCATGCAGAAAGCCCATGAATTTTTATTTATTTATTTTCCTGAACATAGAGTACTTGATATTGTGTTTTCCTTGAGGATCCAAAATATTTTTTAATTCCCAAAGCATTTCATCTAGAAACTTTTTTTATATGACAATATTTAAATACCTAAATTTATAATCAATAAGATTCCATAGTTTTAACTAAATATATAATTTTGCAGAAAGCTGGTTGCAAAAGTACTCAGTCCACAGGTGTCAGATTATGCAGCCTCCCACACAGTATCTATTTTTAGGAGGAATGTGGCTGTTTTCCAACTCTCACAGAAATGGGTAGGAGACAATGAAGAGGATAAATTCACAGAATCACAAAACCTCAGAATGCTCATTAATCACTCGGCTTCAGGTCCCCTCAGAAGTTCCTTTACAGTGCTTCCACACTGCTGGAGTTCAGACAAACCAAGGTTTTCCCTTAATATGAGGAAATCAGTTATCCTTGATACCAAATTTGTTGTGGTTTTGACCAGCATACATTTTGTGGGAGATAATTGGACTTCAACACAAATTATGCTGTCCCTAGGAAATTATTGGCCTGTGGTGATTTCAGTGTAGCCAGACTACACTTTGAATGTAGTCTGAATTTTGCTTGAGCAGGTGTTTGAATTTTGCTTGAGCAGGTAGGATTTTCTACCCCCATCACTGCCATGAAGGTTATGGTCAGGTATTTCTGGTAAATGCTAAGTGGCTGTTTCCTTTTTCCCCCCTATTTGTCTCCTATCAACAGAATAATGTTGATAACGTGATTGAGGCAGCTAAAGCCATCTGCAGTGTCCTGTGCTTTGTGGAAACCAGAGACATCACTGATGCAGTCAGCAAACTCCATGCTTTGGGGAGAGCACAGGTAAAAGATGCATGTTCATGTCCTACTGTCATCTTTAAAACTGGAAATTGAATGGGTATCACTACTTTTTTGATTGATCGAGTCCATTTTACTCTCTTGCTACATTTTGCTGTCTTGTTTTCCCTTTGACAATTGTTGGGTAGAGGCACTCTAAAAAAAAAAACAAAGTGTTGACCATGTGTGATGCGATAGAGAACCAACAGAAGATTTGCCATGTGATTAATTTCAACTGATATTCTCCTCCAGTTCTTTCTTGTTCCTGCTTAATGTACAAATCTCTTCTTTGCCACATCACCTATTTACCAAATCACACGATCTCGGAGTATTAGATTTTCAGATACTTTGTACAGGTTGGCAATTTAAAATAATCTTCCAAAAATGTTATTTATATAAAAAATCAAATAAACAATAAATAAAATTTCAATTTTCAGATTGAAATATCCCTATTATTTATGCAAAAGAGTACCAGCATCATAGAGTCCTGATTCTAGATGAAATATTCTTAAAACATTGAAATGGGTTTTCCGGATGTTTATGTATAATTAATTGTGAACTGGGACTTTGGAGGGCATTATCCCTTCTCAATTTGGTCATCAGCTGCTTTGGTATGACCTTAGAAAAAGTCACTATGACCTGATTTATAGAAGTTCTGAGCACCCAAAAGCTCTTTTGAAAGTCACCATTTTGGAGATTCAGGTGCTCAGCAAATCTGAAAATCAAGCCATTAATCACTTGGATTTACTCTGGTGTAATTGTGAGTCATGATAATTTTTTCACACCCTAAGGAAATTCCCTCTTCACACTTCCAAAAAAATAAAAGTTACTGAGGAATTCTCTTCTATCTTTGCATGGTCTCGTCATTCTTTCTCACAGCATATACTATTTAGACATAGGGTTTAGAAAGTACTATTTAGAAGCAAATACTATTTAGAAAAACATGCCAGGCTGCATATGATGCTTGCATTCAGACCATTACCTGCCTCCTGCAAGACTTTTATCCTTTCTCTTTACTGTTGGCCTTGTTTTTTTGGTTTTTTTTTTTTTTTTTTTTTTTTTTTTTTTCCCCATGTCTTGTGATATGTGCAACACCAAAGACTGGAAGAGCCAAGGCAGCTCCAGGGTTTTCGGTTTGTTGCTCAGACCTGACCAGCTGATTCACTTAAATGGCTTCTCTTGCTTCTCTTCTAGTTCATGTTTCCCTGCAAATCTTGCTTCTATATTATCCTAAATATTCTAACTTCTGCTTTGGCATCAATTATTAGAAGTCACTACTGGGAGTAAATTCCTGCATAAATGAGTCTGTGTTGGCACACATTTTATCTAGCGTGATGTGGAATCAAATGGAAATAAGAATATCCATTTAAGAAAAGCTCTTCTTGGATATTAGAAGGTAAATACTGTAGAGAAAGAGATAAAGGAAGTAATAAGGTATTCATATGATTTGCTTTTCAGTTAAACTCCAGACTCTCTTAAGAGGTGTCAGTATGATCAGTGTCTTGTACCCAAGACAAGAATTTTCTCAATCCAGAATATTTCTTGAGAGATAGCCAAAGATCTGAGTCAAGTTAAAAGACAGAGAGGAAAGCAACAGAACTTTGTTTTAGAAAGGAATTAGAGCAGAAGGAATGTATCAGGACTAATTTGATAAAAACTTTTTCTTTAAGGCAATAAAAGTTTAGTGTATTTTATCTTTTAGTGTTCAGGTCAGCCCTGTGAACCTAATGTGTAAACTACCTCGTATGACTGCCTTATATATCCCTTGGTCCATTTGCAGCCCCATCCTCTGAATTGAGCAGAGAAATAGGTGCAGTGGTCAAAGAGACAAATCAGGTTCCTATTAGTGTGGCTCATCCTAAGTCAGACAACCCCACATGCCATGCAGAGTAACATAATGGGATAAAACCCTGAGTACAAATCGCCTTCTTCAGTCTTAGTTTTTTTTTGTGAATGTTCACATTATCGTTTACTTGTTTTCAGAGTTGTTGCCATGCAAATCTTGCTTTTATTTCTGAGATGAAGTGGCCATTAATAATAGGCAAATAGATCCGGTCATAATTTAATTATCTTCTTGTAGAAAGAAACAAACAACAAAAAAAACTCTGTTCCAAATGTTCCCTGTTTGGTGTTGCTCATTCTCCAGCATGTCAGAATGTCCATCTCCACCATATATTGTCTCCAATATTTACAGCTTCTCCTAAAGTAACTTCTATGTTCTTCCTCACATGGAGGGAGCAATACACTTCCTTTTTTCCTGTTTTACCTGCTTAGATTATAAACCCTTCAGAGCAATGCACACCTCTCCTTATCAATGTGTGCAGTCTGAGTGCTGGTCCTGGCTGTGTTCTCCAGAGGCTCCAGCTGACAAGGGCTGACCTGAACACTAAAAGATAAAATACACTAAATTTTTATTGCCTTAAAGAAAAAGTTTTTATCAAATTAGTCCTGATACATTTCTTCTGCTCTAATTCCTTTCTAAAATAAAGTTCTGTAATGAGCAAAGTGATGCTGTCTGAAAAGCCTCTGTTAAATGTTGAAAAATATGGTGTCCTGATTGAAATTCTAAAATATTTTTCTGTCCTAATATTCAATAAGAAGCTGCACCACATATTATGGGGATTTTGGAAGGAATTTAGAATGAGTTAGAGATGGGACCTCTGAGTTTTTAGATTATGTGGTTTATTTTCTTATTTCCTACATAGGCAGGGTGAGTTTGACTCACATCTTTACTGTATTATCAGAATGTCACAAGACCCTTAGTTACAAGACTTTTAAAGGATTTATTGACTAATAAAACACTGCTAACAAGGATATTTATGTTTTTGACTTAATCCTTAAATATTTTGTTTTATGAAATTGTTACAGTGTAAGCTTTCTTAGCCAGTCATGTTATGACACAAACCCACAATACTGCATTATAAACTCCTTGTTTACCTTTGTAACTACTTTTTTTCTATATCTTAAACTCCAAAACTTTAAACTTTCTTCTTCTTAACTTAACGTGTCTCTGCTTTAAACTACAAATCCACATTCTTGCTTCTAGCATCTGAGTTTGGACGCCTCTTCTAAGGTCTCAAATTAAATCCTGTGTTTACTTCTAAGCTTTGGCTTACAGGCCCAAAGTTCTGAGAATTCCTTGCATTTTGGATTCTAACAACATATCTCTTGAAAAACTACTGGCTAGATTGTCACTCATGCTTTCAAGTTTTTCAGTTATTGAGGCTTTGTTCTCTTAATGCTGCTTTTTAGGCTGGGTTAGCTGAGCTGGTTGGCTTTCCCTTGAAGCCTTCCTGTAAAAGCTGCCTGTGACCTTGACTGCCACCCCTGTCCCTCTGTGCTGAAGCAGACCTGACTAACAACTCTCTTCAAATGCTGCTGCTGCCTCTGGCTTTTCACTCCTTTGAGAAATAGCTGCTAGGACAGTCAATAGACCTCAGCAATCTAGAAAAGGCTTTTGATTCCATAAAGAGTTTTGTCTTTGCCAGCAGCTCAACTATAAATGTCATAAAAGCAGTAAAATATACTCCTGCATGTTTTGTAACTTCTCCCATTTCATGAGAATAGTCATTACACACCATATGCAACTACCTCACGTGTAGAATATAAATGTAACAAATCAGATTACATCTCTATTTGTCAATATTGATACAAAGACAATTGACCAGGTTTCCTGTTTGTTGCAACGTACCTGGTCAAAATTAGTACTCAGCAGCCAGTTATTCAATGGAGTACCAAGCCCCTCAAACCTCTTTTTAATTTTAACTTACATTGAATGCTAGGGTCATTTTTATGTGAATTTTGGGTACTGAAAAACTTACTAAATGCTGCAATATTAGTGTATTTTACCATATTGCTTGAATTGATTCTATTATGTATATCAGTATAGTACCAAAATATTTTGTTAGGAGGAAGAGAGGCTTTTTTCAGATAAGCAGGTAAAGTGCCCCACAAATTAAGTGACATTTTTGAGGTTACCTGTTACATCTCAAGCATAGCAGAATTACACATCTGCTAGGGAAGGGGTGCCAGAAAAACATTCTAACTGCTTTTCCACATGATTTCCTGATGCTTTAGTGTAATATATGGTGTGGTTTTGCGTGGAATATTTTTTAACACATCCATTTGGCACAAGCACATATAAAGCCTCAGGGGAAACCACTGCTTACTTCTTCCAATGTAAATTACATAGGTTGCCAGTGTATGTTTGTTTATACCTACCTGTACATATGTGCTCTCCTACTTGGAAAAAAAAAAAAAGTGCTTCTATTTAATTCTGGTTAAAAAAAAAAACAAAACAAAGAAACTTAGTTTCAATCTTCTGTCTTTAATTAAATTGTACTTATTACCTCCTCACTGCCAGTACTGTGCATTCCTGTAGCATGGTTAAGAGATTATGAAAGCAACTGGCACCAGTGCTGGTTTCTTCTTAACTGATTGCATCTCTTTGTAAATGTGATTATTTCAGTCTCTAACCAACCTAACCCTGGGATTTTCAAATTCATTCAGGGGAGGCTCTGGACCTGATGCATACTCCTTTTTTTTTTTTTTTTTTCTCCATTCCTTTCTTGCAGCAGCTCACAAAAAGTCATAGGAGATCAAATCCTGCCAGAACAGGCACTAATCCACTATATATTCAGCATGCTATACTATGTCAAAATTATAAGTACCGTGCCAAAAGGTTGTTTACTTTCCAAAATTTGAGGGAATCGAACAAAAGTCTCTGTTCCCATTTGTCTCACTGCATTATGAAGATTGTGAAAACATAATTCTCAGCCTGGATGCTGCTTTTCTCCCCTCAAGTAAGCATTCAAGGACTTCTGTTCATCTTCAGCAGACAAATGCTGGCAGCTCCAAGCTGGGTGCCAGAGGGAGAGTGTACATCCAGCATTGTATTTCTTCTGCCACCTCTGCATGCATTGTAATTTTTAAGAAGCATCATGCTGAATACATATGTACTAACACGAAGCATTCTCCAAGAGATGAATGACTTTGAAGGGCAGAAAACCTTACAGGGATGTGGGTTCAAACAGTGCGAGCCAGAGGCAATACTGAGGTGCAGAATTAACTTTGCAGTCTCTCTGGTCAAGATTTGCTACTTATTTTTGTGTTGCTTTGTAGATACAAGTCTGCTCACAGACTCAGATAATCCTGGAGTTTGCTGAGTTGAAAGGGCTCCACAAGAATCATCCAAGTTCAACTTCTGTCCCTGCAGAGGACACACCAAGAATCACACCATGTGCCTTAAAGTGTTGTCCAAATGCTTCCAGCACTCTGTCAGGCTTGGGGCTGTGACCTGTTCCCTGGAGAGCCTGTTCAGTGCCCAGCCACTCTCTGGGTGAAAAAGCTTTTCCTGATACCCACTTAACCTCCCCTGCCACAGCTTCATGTCGTTCCCCTGGGTCCTGTCACTGATGACCAGATGAGGACATCAGTGCCTGTCACTTGCCCTCATGAGGAAGCTGAAGAGCACTTTGAGGTCTCCCCTCACTCAATATTTCCCTTTGGCCACCTCTGGTCAGCTGTCTGCTCAGAGGCCTTTGAAGTGCACAGCTATTTTCACTGATCTGGCACAGGAGGTGAAATGGAGGCCACTTGAGTGGAGACTTGCTGCTCCTCACCTTTGAGAGGATGCCAAGACTTTTCCCTTTGGGCTTCATGTCTGATTGTATAAAGCCTTGCAAAGGGGTGGAGAGGGAATTCTTATCTCTGTTCTATCACTGTGGAGGCTGAGAATGTGTGAGCACATTTGATGAGTGCTCCTTTGTACCCTGACGTGCCCAAATACTGTCAGAAATCAGGTCCAAGTGGCTTGGCTGAGGTGGTAGAGGAAGCAGGTCCTGGTGCTCTGAATCCCATCATGTCTTGTGTCATCATTACATTACAATAAATTTAAATCCTTCCCCCTTCTACTCCTACAACCATTAAAACTTCTACCTAGTCTTTTCTGAGTGACTGATTACTTTTTTCCTCTCTGGTTTTTGTCTTTATAGAATTCTCTTCAAAGTGTGGAAACACCAGGCAAAGGTAGAGTGGATTTTTTCAAGTCTCTTAATTCAAGGTGTATCATCAGAAAACACACATTTTGCTATTTGCTTGTTTTACTAATCTGTTTGAGTGGGCATATTGCAGATGTTTACATATTAAGGTGTATTATAAGGTAATTATGATAAGTTGAAGTGATCTAAAAGTGTAAATAAAACAGTATTTCCACAAAATAATCTGGAGACTCAAATATGGAGAATGAGTAGCAGAGTGAAAGAACTGAGTTGAGGTGGTGGTGGTCATGGTAGTTTTATTTAATCACAGCTTTCATTGTGGAGAAAAGGGAAAAGAATGAACTTCATGGAAACCTGAAAAGTTATTTTTCTGTGTGACTTTTCCACCTGACTCCAATAACTTTAATTCCCCCCTCTGTAAACTTTATTTCTTTGTGATCTTTTGCTGTATAAAGAGTGTCTTGTCTAATGATAGACTGTCATAAGAAGAGTACATTAATTAACAGTAATGGACAAAATTATAAACTCTGCCTTTTAAAATTCTCACTGGCTCAGAGGTGCCGAGCACTGTCAGCCCCTCTCAGACCAAAGGAGGAGCAGGAGTCTGCTCTGCCTGGGGCTGGGTTCCAGGAGGGAACAGCCTCATCCAGTGCTGCTCTAGCCCTTTGTGGCTGCCCAAATGCAGCTGGGGATGCTGCATGGGTACCATCCAAGGGCCCTCCCTCCAGCCGAGCACTGGGGTGGGCTGTGGAGGGAATTGGTCTTTCTCCATTTTGTTGGAGGAAAAAATGTCCTCTGAGATATTATTTTCTTTTGTTTGCTCTTCTCGACTGCAGTGTGCTCAGAGATGCAAAAAAAGTGAAGCAGTTACAATGATTTCAGCAGTCTTTCAAACATAGAGTTGCTTCAAATACAGGTTTCCAAATGTTAGGCTTGTTTCTTCATTATTCAACTTCATGAACAGCAGAGAAGGGAAACAACAATTCAATTTGTAAGATGGCAGGAGAAGCTAAGCAGCTGGAAGGCCAGGAGAGTGGGAAGAAAAAAAACCCATGCAGGTGCAGAAGGGAGGAGAAGGTAAATTCAGTCTGTAGGACTCTTCTTTCTTGGATATATTCCTTTTTCCCATGTGTTAACACTCTCAATGGCAGCTAATTGCTCATGTTAAAAATAATCAATAGCTACTAATAGGCATCTACCTGAGAAACATCTTCCTCCACACACTGTTCAGAAAATGTAATTGGAATGGATTTTAAACACTCCTCTGATTACAGGTATTTCCAAATTTGAACTTCATTGAATCAGCAGGTCTCTCAAGGAAAATCTCAGTTATTGAGTAACACTGAAGGAATCAGTGTTTACTCCCTACTTCTCTGTACCTATTTATTTATGCCAGGAAATCATCAAGTGTGAAGATTTCTCTGTTTGGTTTTGGCACACCCTAATTTCATAACAATTGCAGAATCCTTTTGGTAGTGTAAGATTAGAAACTGCAATTTACTGATAGCAAGTCAGAACTTGCCAAACCATTAGTCATTCTGTGGAGAAGCCTGCATTCAAATTTGTCCAAGGTAACCAAATTTCCATTTCATGTATGTTTTGACATGCTACATGCCTTACATCTGCACATAATACATAAATTAAATAGACTAAAAGTCAGCAAAATATTTAAAGTTAGGATAATGAGCTGGCATGTCAAAGCTGGAGTTAAGAACATATCTGAGAAAAGCCAAGTGTGAGTGCAATGACCAAAACTGATCTGCAGGAACCTAGGGCTGAACTCCCAAACATGGGGGAAAACCATATTGCATCTTCTCTTTTGGGCATCAGAAGTTTTCCTTAGTGCCTGTCTTCTCAGTGCTCACCTTCATGATAATGCTGCTGACCTAGGAACACTAACCTTGAGAGGAATCCAGATGATATTTTCACTTGCTGAAGCTAGAAGTAAAAGCCAAATAAGTGGTGAGTTGTAAGCTCCTGCCAAATTCATCTTTGTGCTTCTGTTTCCACCTCATTTGCCTCCCACCCTTTTTTTACTTCTTTGTGCTTAGCTGTCTAGGATTGCAGGTGTGCAAAAATCTGCAAGCCTGTGAGCCAAAATTAAAGGAAAATCATAGCCTTAGCTCAGTGCTGTTAAACATTTCCAGATCTCTGGGAAGCTAAAGCCCATGTGCTTTCCTTCCTCAAGCTTCACATTTGCAGATGAAGTCAGAATTGACAGCTGAGGAAGAGACAGACTGGATTTCCCATTTTTACTGTTCCTTTCTGTCCCTCATATGTATTCGTGTTTATCTTGAAGAAAACAGGATCAAATTTTAACAGCAAGAGCAGCAATCAGTTACCCCAACTAATAATGTTTCCTTTCTCCTTTTTTTCCCCAAGTGATGATTATTACTCTGAGTATCATAAGAGTTTTGTTTATCTCCATTATAGCTTCTCTCTACCAAAAAAGAGAAAAAGATAAAGGATACTATTAAAATTAAAGCCTTACTTAAAACCTTGTTTAGAAGCTGTCTTAACCTTGCTCGTTAATAACAGATTTTCAGAGGTTTATTATTAAGTCATTCACCATGGACTAAGCAAGTCAAACACTATATTCAAAGTATCTAGCCTTGATTTAGTGTTCCAATAACTGCCTCTATTAACAGTGTTATCTCTGAGGAACAATTTATGCCACAGCTGTGAATAAAGCAATACTTATCCACATTATGCCTAAGTCTGGATCATGTAATTTTTCCTCTCTATGAAGTCCTTAGAAGATTATGTTCAAGTTTTAGTGCGCAAAATATTTTATTTCTTGTTAAATTGGGGGAACTATAGGTATTTCTAGACATGAGTATCTTTCTGCAACATCAAGTGTTCACAGAAAATGAAGATTACTCATGTTAATGGAGACTTAGCATTAGGGTTTGCTGCAATCCAGAATGTGAAAAAGGCTGCAGGCTGGTGTAGACCTGAATCTGTGTGTGGCTCTCAAAAGCTGATGAATGAATATTTATTCCATGTCTACAGCCTTGCTGCTTAGGGCAGGGATTTCATCAGATCAGGCATAATAAGCAGCTTTCAGAATTTGATCAGTACTTCTCTGGGACCCATCCAGAAGATCTGGTATGCATCAGGAACTGATGATATTGAATCAACAGTTTTTTCCAACTGAATTGCTGGAGTTGTTATCTTTTAGGGTGAATGCAGGAATGTAATGCTACAATACATGTCATGTAGTCGTCATTACATTAAGACTATAAAGCTTCTCTAACTGTGCTTGGGATTTGAAGCTTATTTCTAGACCTGATAATAAAAGCATTCCCAACAGAAAGTCTTTTTTAAAAAAAGATTTTAAAAAGCGAGGAAAGGAGGGAAATGGTTTTTTTGTTGTTAGGGAGCTGAAAAATTCTTTTGCTTCCTTTCTTAGCATAAACCCATTACATTTTTGTTTTGGGAAAACTCTTTTTGTTTCACAATATGGAAAAATCTTAAGGGATTTTTATTGACTTTGTTTCATTTTTCTACGTGCCTGCTGCATTGTTTCCAAACCAGAGCACAACTCCTCACCTCTAAGTTGTTTTTGTGTTTTATCCTGATGTATTGTCTTTATAGCCAGAGGCTTTTTAATAATGAACAATTTTTAAATAACTACAACCCCCCAATTCTGTGCAAAAAGTAGCCAGAAATTATCAAGGCTTTATAAACTATATAGGAGTAGAGACATTTTTGATACTAGGACAACAGGAGATTTTTAAGTTGCTTTCAAGGAATAATCCATAGGATCCTTCAACTAGTAGGAGAAAACAATCCAGTAAATATTGGTGCTTGCAAGCTGCATCTGATCAGTAGATATATTACAGCTTTTCATGTTCTTCCTCTTTCTTATTACAATAGTGGCTGAATGAATGCTACTTAGCATTTTACTTAAAGGTCAGGTGGGTTTATTTTTTTCTTTAGTTTTCGTTTGTTTTAGGGTTTTGTGTCTATGTCCTGAACTGTATTCAGGACCTTGCTCTTTCATCTCTGAAAATAAGTTGGAAAGGAAAAAATCAAGCTCTGTTTCTCAAAAGGATTTTTAATCTGTCAAAAGGGTCATAAGCCTTGATTCCAAATTCTGTTCAACCAGATTTTTGTCATGTTTTACCTGGAGAAAACGTGTACAGGTCAGAGAGAGTGTTTTAACGTGTGTTGAACTAACATCATCTGCTGGTGCAGGAACAGCAAAGTGCAAGATCTGGCAATAAACTAATATAGGAATTGTAATACTGGACTGAGAGGAAAAAGTTTGTGGGTTTGTGTAAGGAATAAGCTACTATATTCCTTACTAAATCTTGAAGGCACTTGCAGGGGTATTCATTAACCCTTTCAGGATTGAGGGTTGTTCTGTTTCTCACCAGAGGTAGAATTTATTCCTTCAGATTTCCCGCACCAGGAACAGGAATCTGTCAGAACTAAGCATATCTGGCAGCTGTGGTTAAAGTTCACTTCCCTGGTTCTCCTCTCACTTCTGCGTGTCAGATTTCTCCTCACCTTCAGTGAGAAGGTGGTGGCAAATAATTTCACACCAGGAATAAATCACAAGGTTTGAGTTGTGAGATTATTAATCTTGGTCACAGTTCACTCTGCAATGTGGTCCTTTCATTGTCTCTTACATACTGGATATCCCTGGGACACCTTTCTAGAAAACAGGTTTTGATGTAGCTGAAACTCTGAATCTGCTGTATCAAGTCCTGTGTAAATCAGTAAAACACCAGTCCTTTCTCAGCTGAGATTTATTAAAAGGCATAAAAAGCAGTAAAAGTTCTCTGGCTTCATGAATGGGAGATATAATTTCAGCCTACCATATCCTATTCAGCAGCTCATTAAAATACAGTGAGAAAATGCTGACCAAGTTTTGTGAGTAATGGATGTTTACAGACTACCCAAGATGTTTCCCTCTAATTCAGCTAATTGCTACTGGTCCTAATGACTGAAGAATGGGGGTTGGAAAGGGGCTGATTCTGGCACAGAAACCATAGACTGTTTTATAACTGAGAGCTAGCAAGAATAAGAAACTTAATGTTGAAAAAATTCCTGGACCTGCAGACTAGATTATACTTAGACATTAGCTTAAACCCAAGGAACTCTGTTCCTGAAAATATCTTCATTCTGTAAGTCCTAATAATTACATAAATAATGCTGAAGGTCATTTGTCTTCCTTGGCTGCCAGTGAAACAATTGTTGTTCCACTGCTGCCTTCACCCGCCACGTGCTGTTACAGCCAGTTGAGGGATTTTGTTTGGTTTTGTCTGCTTGTCTGGTTTTTACTCATCTGACATCAGTTTTGTGACTCAGGTACACCATGAAAATAAATTTTCTGCAAACATGGTCAATAGACAGGGCAGCTTGGATGTAGTGATAGGCATCTTGCATCTTAATCACTTCCTTGTCTGGTACATGTACATTTTCTGGTATGGAAAACACTCCATTGTGTATTTTCTCATGACTTTATTATTTGGGAATCCTTTGCTCACAGAGCAAAGGATTCCCTTCTATCTGTGGCTTAGCTGAGACAGAATACATTACTTCTTTCATCTGAAATGTTGCTTTACCACCTAAAATATAGATTGTGTTAAAATCAGAGAACTGAACTACCTTTTACCCTCTTTTGGAGAAAACACTGAGAAGGTTCTATTCAGAAATCATTTACTTCAACAGGCCAATTTTCATAAATAAGAGGTTTGCTATTACACTAGATTTGCCTGTCAATCACTTTGAACAGATTGGAAACAGGGAAACTCCCAAGGAGCTGTTGGTCCTTAGTAAAAAAATAGTGTGGTACTTTTCAGAAAAAATACTGGTTCAAATAACAGTCAGCTGATATCCTCTTCTAGACCTCTTAAGAAGATTCCATGTGTATCACTATGGGTAAATTCTTGGAATGTAAAGAATACAGTGCATGTTAAACATTAAGTTTGCAGTTACTAAGTGGTTACACATCCAAGAGGACTGGGAATGAGAATTAAATGGTGTTCTAGCAAAAAAAAAATCACCAGAGCCAAAGATTTTTTCAAAGCTCTTGTGGTGAAGGATGATAAATGATGAAAATTCTAAAGAGGATAAACAAAAAAGGCAATTAAAACCAAGTGGTAGACAGAGACAGTAGATGGATTGAGTTTTTTTAACCTGTTGATCTCTAAAATGATTCATATTTCACATTACAGCCTGTCCTTCCTACATGCAATAATTTGCTGTCAGTGTTTTCAGAAGAAAACCTCATTATGGGTCAAACTATTTCAATTTTATGTGTATTTCTATTGTTACATAATTAAAATTTGTTTATTATTAAATGAACATAAATTATTTCTTTGCACAGTCTGCATTTTGTGACTCAATAGTTCTGGGTTAAAGGAAAAAGGTATCAAAGAAGGAGAACAAAATTCCTGACTGAGGATTAGGTTTTTTGGAAATATTTCTGTTAGGAAACAGGGATAGCTAAATCCAGGGAATGGTCTTATCTGTATCTGATGTTGGCAGGGCTGTTGCACCTATCCGGAGGATAAAAAGCTAATGGGAGTCTCAGACTTCCTATTCCTTGGGTTATTTCTTCTTTTTCTTTTCTTTTTTCTTTCAGTAGACACTATGAGCTGATAGATGGCTGCTGATTTCAGTGGCCAGAGAAGTCCAGGGAATTTTTCAAGAACTGTTAACAGGTGGTGAGAGTGTGTTCTTGATCATGTAGAAAAATGTGAGCTAGAAGGGTGAAAAAAGGAGAATTTGGGGGTTTCCTCTTGGAAGACAAATGAGCCTGATCTTGGAGCAATTCAATGTATTCTGACACTTTCTCTCTCAACCTAGCCCATGCTTGAGAAATGAGTGCTCTTAACAGCTCTCTTCACTTGATGGAGGCTGCCAGGACTGGGGGTTTGAATTTACACTGGCAATCAGGCTGCTCCAAAAACAGAGAGGGAAGATGGATAAAAGCCAGTAATTGCAGAAAAAAAAAAAAAAAAAAAAAAGGAAAAGTACTGAAGAACTGAAGCCAGAGGGAATGACATAAATAGAGGTGTGGTATAAATTGGGGTAGAGCCTACATTTCGTACCTATTTATATAGATATATATTTTATTCGCCATTTTTATGAAATATTATCACCAACCCATGACCACCTGAATGCCGACTTCTTCTGATTGTGGCTGCTATTTTATATGTTTTATTAATTGTTTACCTGCAGTTGCAACAGCTTTATAGTCTTAAAATTTAACCAGTGCCTTTTCTCCCTCCTACTGCTGCCTTGCCAGTTCCCTTGAAGTAAGTAACTACTTAGCTGCTTAAATGACAAAATACCTACTTAAAAAAATCCTTCCAGCACAAAAATTCTAAGACTGAAATGGCATATCTGAGGTACCCAGTAGCTTGCTGTGGTTGAAAATGCCTTAATTTGAAAATGCCTTAATTTGAAAGCTCTGTAATGAAAGTCTGTTAATGATACACCAGAAATGAGCTAAGGCCAGTTTCAGAAGCACAGATGGCTAATTGGCTTCAGTTGCAGGTTATGTCATTTTAATTCAATTTTATTAGGAAGCATTTCAAAGCCATAACTGATGGTTTAGGATAACTATAGTTCTTCGTAAATGACCTATTGCTAACCTTTATTTATTCCTCTGTCTCCTCTCAGTGTTAATAGAAGCTGCTGTGACTGAGCTCTCCATGGCCATCTCTCGTCTCATCCGCATCTACAGCAGCAGCTTTGATGTAAATTTCCAACTTGCCAGCGTTCCTAGGAGCCCTTTATGTGCAGACATCAGCCTAAATTCCCAGCTGAGCTTCACTGTTTGTGCTGCCCATAACATCCCAGAAGCCTGGGTGACCAGGTAGGAGGAGGGTTCATAAGAAGATGTGTTGTCTCTTTGACAAAAGTAATTTTTCACAGACACCAGCTCACCTCTGCTGCTTTGGTGGTGATCCTAAATTAATGTCAGAGACTGTGTGATGCACACCAAGGCTGTTTGGACTGGGAATTGGTGTGGTCTCAGCAGGAAAAGTAACTAGAAGGGTTGGAGGCCAACTTGACAAGTGAAGCAGAGGGGTGTTTTTGCTTGAACCCAGTCTCAGTGAGGCTTTCTCAGCAATTTTTGCTCTAGGTTTGCTCAAACCTTGTCATGTGGCCAAGCACCTGAATTGGTGATGTCCTTCATAGATGTGATTGAAGTTCAGAGATCTAAGTATATATACTATCAGCATTACACAGGAAAATAAAATAATAGAAATATAGAAATATAATTTTGATAGAAAAAAAGAGACAATTTAATTAAAAGCTAACAGAAATATTCTTTTACATTGCTCAAATTTGGTAAAATTAGTCATCTCATCAAGTAGCTGCTTTTCCTAGTCTGGGCCAAACTGGTGTTCTTTTCTTACCACTCCAGTGTGATCAAAGGGAGGCAGGTGAACACAGTCTGGTAGCATTATTTTTATCAGTCAAAAAGTTCTCAAAGTTTTTGTTAATTTTCCCATTGCTCCTTCTTTACTTTCAATCCCAAATGACTGTGGGATCATCTGCATCAGACTGTGAGCACAAGACTGTACTATACAGCATTGTTTGTAATTAGCCATTTAACAAAAATCTGAGGGACTTTGCATTAGTTAAGGTACTAAATACACTACTATAATCACTAACCTGATTTTATCCCACCGAATTTTATGTTTTACCAGAAAAATGTGATATTACACATAACCTAAAGGCCACTGTTTACTTGAATGTTGTGTTGGAGCACATAAAAATGAGAATCTTTCTTCCTCCTAATCTCTCTTTCCAGTCTTTCCAATATTCATAACTAGCATGGACTTCTTAATATGAACTGCTGCTCTAACACTTGGTTTCCTCAAATTCTTTTAAGGACCTTGTTCATATGCATGCTCCTCATTCTTATTTTTCTGCACTGCATGAATTCATGGTGGCAGTGTCATGGATCTCATGTTCCCTTTCCAAAGGTCACATTATGATCTTGCAGCTGTTTTAACATGTATTATAATATGTCTATATTCCTATGTATGTATAATGTATAAAATATATTCTATAGGGAACTATATGCATTATGATATATATTCTATTATGGATCAGTACTTTTATTTAAATAGAAGAACTTCGTAATTTGGTTGTATGAAAACCTTTTATTTCCTGAGCTATCCTCCAACTCTCTGTAAAGTTTAGACTCTAGGGGAAGTATTTCCTGTTCCTACAAGGTAATTTTTCCTTCTCTGAACTGATATCTCATAGGTACTGCAGACTACAGATAATTTTCTTTCAATTAAAAAAAAAAAAAAGGAAAAAAAACCCTCCCAAATTTGCTACAATAATTATAAAATATATTATAATGTTCTGAAAGGGATAAGCCATCATTCTTATCAGTATGGCAAAGTCAGGCATCTCCAATCTGTGACTGCCTTAGATTTCCTGTTCACATTTGACTGTTTCCCATGTTCATCATTTTTGTCCAGAATGAGGTCAAAAGCTGAGCCTGGCAGGAAGATCTGGAAGTTACAAGACTAATTAGGAACATTAATTATTTATAATCTATTTTGACTAATATTTTAAAAGATTTCAGTAAGAGGAATGTGAAGCAAGAGACCAGACCTAAATTTCACTCTGAAGCTGCTCAGTTCACCTTCTGAAGGCCAACACAGAGGGCTGTAATGCTTCTGCTGTAAATATATATATATTCCCTTGAGTACTAATCTGTTTACACACAGATTGGGAAAATAAGGTATAAATAGAATCATAGGGTTGAAAAGAACCTTAAAGATCACCCCCTTACACCCCCTGCCATGGGCAGGGACACCTCCCACTGTCCCAGGTTGCTCAGAGCTCCATCCAGCCTGGCCTTGGACATTCCAGGGATTCAGGGGCAGCTACAGCTTCTCTGGGGAACCTGTGCCAGGGCCTCCCCACCCTCAGGGTAAAGAATTTCATCCCAATATACAATCTAAACCTAACTTACTTTGGTTTAAAGCCTTCCCTTGCCCCATCACTGCATTCTCTTGTAAAATATCCCTTCCCTGCCCACTTTGGGTGCTCTAATGTCCCCCTGGAACCTTTTATTCTCCAGGCTGAACAACCCCCATTCCCGCAGTCTTCCCAGGAGTGGGAAACCCTCTGAGTATCTTTTTGTCCCTCTCTGGACCTGCTCTGACAGTTCAATGGCTTCTCATGTGCTGGGGGCTCCAGAGCTGCATGCACTTGTCCAGCTGGGAGATTTCTTGTTGATTCTAGGATGAGCAAGTACCAACACTTATGTCCAAATTTTTATTCACTGCAATAATGAAAAAAAAATTAATGTCAAAAACTTGTAACAGACCCCAGGTACAAAAACAAACAAAAAAAAATTCCAAAAAACCTTATGTTAATCTGATATTAATTATTACAATTTCTTTTCTCATCTAAGGATGAATTTTCAGGATAAGTTCCTGAGTGGTTAACTCCAAATATAGTGTGCTAGACATAGTATATTACAATAAATTTTTTTTTTCTCCTTTGTAGCTACAAAGTTTTCTCTTTTTCCTGTTTACTAACTTATGCTGGGAAGATAATATGTCAAGTGAAGATTTGCAAAAATACTCCAGTTAAAAAATCCTTCTTTTTCCTGGCTGACTGGAATGAGAAGTAAGTTTTGGTCTGTGTTTGATATATGTTTATCTGACTGATATTGCACATCTAATATCCATTAAAAAAAAAAACCACAAAAAAACCACAAAAAAACCCCTAAAACAGCGTATTTTTTATGGATGTTCTTCTGAGACAATTAAACTGCACAGAATTCACAGAAACTTGGAGAGATTGGAAGGAGAAAGAAATGGGACAGCCAGAGGCAGAGAACTAGGACTAAGGTAAGTCTGGTCTGACAATAAGCTAAACTGAGCTGGTCTGTGAATAGCTTTTGCTCACTGGAGGGGTCCAGGAGTGCTGGAACTGAAAGTAGATGCAACCAAAGGTTTTCTTTCTGTTCTTTTGAGGAATTCCACCTTTTGGATCTACCTTTAATACATCTGCAATCTAGCTTGAGAACCTACTGCAACATTTCTTCAAGGTTCTTGTTTTATCAAAGAAGGCTGTTTGGTTTGTTAGGTTGGGGTTTTATTTGTTTGTTTGCTTGTTTAATTTTTGGAGGGCTATTCCATTTTGTTGTTTGTTGGTTTGTTTTTTTAATAAGGAGGATCTGCAGTTTTATAATAAGGACCTTAATTTGAGACTGGAATTTTAGGTTGAAGGCTGCCTGTTACCTGTCTGTCTCACACTCAGTCAACATTCCTTTAAGGCAATGGCATGAAAAAAAGCATTTTTGCAGTAGATGAGAGAGAGACCTTTTTTATGATTTGGTGGTGATATGGAATTCTTTCAGCTTCTGGAGAGTGGCATATTTATATTTGCAGTCTTTGAAATTTTTGATATTTTGCATCACTGTTTACTGTATTCTAAATCTGAAAGCAGCTTGATTACATTAGAATTGAACAAAGGTCACAAGTCTGAAAAGGTTTGCTTTTGGAATTTTTTCCTAATTACAATTGTAATTGTATGTGCAGTTCATAACTTCTTTTTGCCTTTTTCTGAGACACAGCAGTATCAATCTGGTCAAATGGAAGAAGAGCTTTTCATGTCAAACACACTTATCCTAGTGGAGAGATGTAGGAAGATAGTATGTATGTGATTTAAGAAACAAAATGAGTGAACTTCTGCTAAGTATCCAATTAAGTTATTTTATGGCTTAAAATAAGCCCTTGGTGCTTTGAGAAGGCTGCCCTAAAACAGAGACTTGACAGAGCTAAAGAATAAAGCAGGGATTTATTCAAAGGATCTCCCCCATGGATCCACATTGGGCAGCGCAAGAACCCAGCCAGGGCTGCACCCAAGATGAACCAAAATGGTCCCAAAATGCACGAGCGCTCCCGGGGGCTCTCACTGGGATCAGTTCTGCTCCATTGGCACCTTGGAGTTCATTGTCCCATTCCAGCTTTAGCCCAGGCAGTCCCATCCTGCTTGTTTTTCTCTCTCCAGCCCACGTTGTTTGTGCTCCTGGGCTGAGATTTGGATCATTTGTCCTTGGTCCCCAGCTGGAGAAGGAATTGTTTTGTCTCCCTGCTCTGTGCAGAGAGCTCACCATCCCCTCATATGAAGCCCAGACCCACACACTAACACAGCACAGAATCTGAAAAATGTAAAAGCTGAAACCTGAGGCATCACCCTCAGTTTTGTCCCTAGCATTTATGCACATATCCCTCAGTCTTTTGTATTACTGGCAAGCAGCTGCTGTCCTTGTGTTTAAAAAATCATATAATTCCCTTTTCCTCTGTAGAAATTTTCACCTTGTCCATTTCAGACAAGTAATTTCTTATTACGTAAGGCAGATAACATTGAAGGCTATGAGGAGGATTATATTTCTTTTGAGCACTTTTGGCTTCTAAAAGGTGGCTAATGCTTTTCTGGAATTCATGCTACAAAACATTTGCTAAAACAAAAGCTAGAATAGAAATATCTGAAGCAGAAATTCTGCTTCTCTTCTGTTTCATGAAAATGTAAAGCAATCAGCCTGAAGCTTCAGGTTTTCCATTGAAATTTCTCCCTTGCAAAATCATTATTAAATGTGCACAATTCCATCCAAATCTTCCTGGAAAAAGAAGAAACTAAATATGCAGACCAAATCCTTTCACAGGTCACAGATGCTTGTAAGAGGCCCTTAATGTCAGATTTAGAAGTGTGTGAAACATAATAGCATCAGTTTGAGAGCAACTTTTTACTTTTTGATTTTCAAAAAAAAAAAAAAATCCATTTCAAACGGATTTTAAAGTAAAAACCTGAAAATTTATATCTGTCTGGTAGGATTTTGAATATTTCCTTCAAACTTTAAAGGTATTCACATATTTTATGTCTCTAATTGATTGAACTAGATTTGTTCAAGTCTCAATAAATGCAGGGAGGTTTCTTGAACTCCTTTTCCTGAGGTCCAGATTTAGAATCTGGGGAACCAGGTATGCCATTATTTTTTGTATGTTTAACATGTATCCAGAACTGGGTTTTGTGAAAAAATGCTCTTTTTGAGTCAAAACAGAGATGCCAGGTGAGCATCTTAAATCAGCTAGCAGCCTTAAATGGAAAGGAGGTTTAGATTAGATGTTAGTAAGAAATTCTTTACTCTGAGAATGGTGAGACCCAGGCACATGTTGTCCAGAGAAGCTGATCACAGCTGTTAAAAATGCATGGGGTAAAAGGTTACCAGGAAGAGCATCTGTTACATTAGGAAGTCAGATATTCTCTATATAGCTATGGATCATTCAGGCCATAAAATAAACCTGGCTAATTCAAAATGAGTTCTGATCTTACATTAGGATTGATTTGAACAGAGGGAAAAAATTGGCAAGTAATGTTTTGGTGATGACGAGTCTAGGTAGAGAGCTTCTGCCATAGACAAGGCTTGTTTTATTCACTTATTTTCATTATTTTCTATTTCCATTTTAAAGTACTTTAACCTATTAATATCTAAACTTCAACTTGATGGGTTTTTTTATAAATATAACCTTCTGTTAAAGTCTGTTATAATATTTAATCTTTCTCATAATGTTCTCAGAAATTATGGGAATAATTTGATTCCTTAGAAGTTTGCCTTGTGCAGTGCTGCTTCTGTTCTTTTTTTAGAGTAAAGTTTTGCTTTAGAATTTGTATATTACTTTTGGAAAGTGTGATTGTTGTCTTGATGCAGGGTCCAAACAGGCTGGTATCATTTAGCATACAATGTGTAAAGTCCATATTTGCCCCCCTTATTTTCTCATCACTTTCATTTTTTGGTGGCTGAGATCTCGTAGTTCTGTTCTTTGGTCTTAGCTGGTTGCTCTTAATATATTTATAGAATATAAATGTAATTATAGATGTATTTACATCTCCTCTTTTTCCATCCTTCATAATTTATGTTAAACCTTCAGACACAAAGTATGGAATTAACATTAAGCCAGCCATTCATCACCTCAGATACTTTCTTGGCTCTGGTTTTCCCTCTTCTCCCTATTTTGTTTGGCTTGTCTGTTTTGGTTCCATTCTCTCTGAGCTGCCTCAGAGCTCTTCTGTGTTGAGTGCTTTTAGGAAACAGGTTGTATAACTTTATCTGATACCTGTGAATGGCACCTGCTCAGTGAGCAGCTTCTTTGTGGCATTTCTGGCCAGAGTTCCATCCCTTCTTCTTAGTCACTCATTTGGCTCAGCCTCCTGCAGTCACAAAGGGTGAGACCAGCTGGGTGAATTCAGATAGGCACTAATTAAAGTTCTGTCTTAGTTTTGCATTACAGAAATGATGTTTTAGGAGAGGCTGTTGGTGATTTTCTCTGTGTCTGACAGAAAAAACTAATTAGTGGCGGCTTTGAGATTTGATAGTCCGTTGAACTACTAAGAAACTGTACATGCTTTTGTGAAAAATATATGTTAAACATGAAAAACCTTGGGAAATCTTGGCCAGAAAATCTCAAATTAGTGAACCTAAACAAGTGCAAGTTCTTAAAAGCAATACAGATATTCCTCTTTGTGTATCACATGTCTCCAGAAGGGAAATTTTGGTCCTCTTTGGCCCACACTTTAACTCTTGGGATGTGTAACTTGTCAGAGTTTCCTGGCTCATTTTCTGCTAGAAGTAGTGGTGTATGTGTCCTAGAGAAACTCTGGCAAGCATTTGCTTTCTGCAGTGATGATACTGAGTGTTTTTCTTCACTGCTCCAGGTTCAGAGTGTTAACAATTGTCTGTATCACAAAATGCACATCTTGGTGGTTTTATTACTGTCTCGTCAAAGCGTTAATGGTTCTTCAAAGTCAGCTCTGTAAAATATTTTTTTATGTAACAAATGTTGTTGACCTCTCAGTGAAAAGGCAGAGCACGTTATTTTTAGCAGGTAAGCCAGTTGAGTTTCCCAATAACTGTTTCTAACTAATTATGAGTAAGGAAGAGTTCATGAGACAGGGAAAGCAAACTACAAAGCTATAAATAGGGACATGTGGGAAGACAGTTGAGAATTGCTTCTCAATGCTGTTCATGGTAATCAGAAAGAGTGGGAAATGGCTGTCTTGTTTTGTTATTCAAAGAGGGAGGTGTGCAAATCTGCATCATTTCCAAATGTTGGAAGACTGATCTGAAATTTTGACATTAATGCTAATTTGGACTACTTCAGATTTTCAGCTGAAACCCATCTAATTTCTTTCAGTAGCTCCTTAGCACATTCCAGGGAACTTTGTCAAATTCAATAGAAATTTGATAGATCTGGAACAGGGAGCAAAATCTTATGCAGAGTTTTCCTTTCACTATAACCATGTCTTACTTCTAGCACCCATAATTCTTATGTTTTACAGGCTAATAAAAATTTTAAATGCACTTTTTACTTTTGTTTGCTGTTTAAGTGTGACTATATCCTTTTAAAATTGCTGAGTTGCATTCTTCTGTCACTCTATTACTCAGATATATCTTTTAGTCTGTTTTCTTAATCTTCAGTTTATGCAGACCTTTTGTTTTTTTAATGATTATATTATCAATGTGGAATAATCCTTTTAGCTCCTAGCTCCTTATATTGATTTTGTTTATACAGAAAAAAATGTAATTAATTTTACTCTCCACTTGAGAAATTTGAGGCTCCACTGACTATACATGGAAAAGGCTAGAAAATTATCTCTTCAGGAAAAAGAAAATGCAGACTTGTGTGGGTAATTACACATGTGATCTTTTCATACAGCATGAAAATATCTGGCTTATTGGGATAATTCCAAGTTATTTAGGCAAATTTTCATAAACTGTATAAATGAGCTGAATGACCAAGCAAGTTAATGGTCAATGCAAAGTCTAGATGAATATTGATGAAAACTGAATTTTCTCACTAAAAAACGCCAATCTGTCATTGTTAAGACAACATCTGCCTATAAGTTGTGGATAAGAAATATTACACCACCAAAGCACACCTGAACAGGACAATGATTATCATTCAGCAACTCTTGGCTTTTTAAATAGTGTTTTCCTCTGAAGACACAAGACAGCCAATAACTGCTGCTTGACAATTCTCCCTTAATGAGTTCCTTATTGTGAAATAGCCTTTCACTGATAAGGTAATTCCAAAGCATAGTTTAATTAAGATTTTCCTGCCTTTGCCAGGTCTAGTAGTTACACTGCAGTGAATGAGTTTTTATCTGCCTCTTCTCAAATGCTGTGACTCAAGTTAAGGGCTGTCAATACTCATCAATGTATTGAAGGGATCTGTCAGATGCATTTTTCTTCAGAGTGCAACTTCTGTAATTTATAGCTCAAAATATGTGTTAGAGCATCTAGAAAAATGTAGAAAGAACCCACTTGTAACAATGCTCAAATATTTTAGCCTTTATCTTTTCTCTTTTCTGTTTCTCTTTTAGGGTCAACTTCCCTCTACGAATAAAGGCTCTTCCGAGGGAAACTATGCTGACAATAAAACTACTGGGATTAAACAGTGCCTCTAAAAATACAGAAGTGCTTGCTTGGACATGCTCCCCATTGTATGCAAAAGAGTAAGTTTGGTTTTGTATGACCTAAAGAAAAGACCATTTGTGAATAGTGTTGGACTTAACCCGGGAGAAATATAAAAAGACAAAATTATTTATTTCAGGAACTCCTGTAATAAGACTGAGAGGGTCACTTACAGCAAACTGCTTTTGATGTGCCAGTATGAGCCCCAGCAACGGGTCTCCCTCTCTTTTTTCTCCCTCTCTTTTTTTCTCCCTCTCTTTTTTCTCCCTCTCTTTTTTTCTCCCTCTCTTTTTTTCTCCCTCTCTTTTTTCTCCCTCTCTTTTTTCTCCCTCTCTTTTTTCTCCCTCTCTTTTTTCTCCCTCTCTTTTTTCTCCCTCTCTTTTTTCTCCCTCTCTTTTTTCTCCCTCTCTTTTTTCTCCCTCTCTTTTTTCTCCCTCTCTTTTTTCTCCCTCTCTTTTTTCTCCCTCTCTTTTTTTTTCCCTCTCTTTTTTTCTCCCTCTTTTTTTTCTCCCTCTCTTTTTTCTCCCTTTTTTTTTTCTCCCTTTTTTTTTTCTTCCTCTCTTTTTTTCTCCCTCTCTTTTTTCCCCCCCTCTTTTTTTCTCCCTCTCTTTTTTCTCCCTCTCTTTTTTCTCCCTCTCTTTTTTCTCCCTCTCTTTTTTCTCCCTCTCTTTTTTCTCCCTCTCTTTTTTCTCCCTCTCTTTTTTCTCCCTCTCTTTTTTCTCCCTCTCTTTTTTCTCCCTCTCTTTTTTCTCCCTCTCTTTTTTCTCCCTCTCTTTTTTCTCCCTCTCTTTTTTCTCCCTCTCTTTTTTCTCCCTCTCTTTTTTCTCCCTCTCTTTTTTCTCCCTCTCTTTTTTCTCCCTCTCTTTTTTCTCCCTCTCTTTTTTCTCCCTCTCTTTTTTCTCCCTCTCTTTTTTCTCCCTCTCTTTTTTCTCCCTCTCTTTTTTCTCCCTCTCTTTTTTCTCCCTCTCTTTTTTCTCCCTCTCTTTTTTCTCCCTCTCTTTTTTCTCCCTCTCTTTTTTCTCCCTCTCTTTTTTCTCCCTCTCTTTTTTCTCCCTCTCTTTTTTCTCCCTCTCTTTTTTCTCCCTCTCTTTTTTCTCCCTCTCTTTTTTCTCCCTCTCTTTTTTCTCCCTCTCTTTTTTCTCCCTCTCTTTTCTCTCCCTCTCTTTTTTCTCCCTCTCTTTTTTCCTCCCTCTATTTTTCTCTCTTTCTCCCTCCCTCTCTTTCCCTCTCTTTCTTTCTCTTTTTCTCTCTCTCCTCTTTTTTATTTTGGTTTAGGTTACTCTTTAACACTTTCTTCTTCACAATGGTGGTTTTTTGATTTTTTTTTTCCTGTTCTCACTCACTTTCACTCTGCTTAAATTGGGACAGTTACTGATGACCACAATTAGCACTTTTCACTCTCCACACCACTTTAGAAGCTTTTTTCTCTTTTCTAACCACTTCCTTCTGCACAGTACACAGTGTAACAGTGCTTTAAAGGTGCTTCTACTTTTAATGTCTCTGCAGTGCTGTACAAATATCCAAGGTAAATTTTCTGCAGTGCTCTAAATATGTTTCAGTAGCACTGAGAAATCTGAATTTAGACTGAGTCTTTGCCGTGATGGGAATTTTTTATTTAGGCTTTATAGCCCTGCAATACCCTCAGTGCAACAGAGGGGTATGTTCAAGCCCCCCAAGTTTCTGCATTAGCATCCACCCCTAAGGTTATCTCACCCTCCTTATCCTCTTTCCTTATCTTGAGACATCTTGATCGCCTTCTCTAGATGGTGGCAATCACTGTTCAAAACAAAATAAAACAAAAAATCTGACTGCATGTACTAATTTTCTGTATTTGAAAGACCTTGTGTTTCCGTGAACTTTTAATCTGAGAGGTGTTGGAAATTATTTGGACTGGGTTAGATGCTTTTTCCATCTTTTCAGAGAAAAATCAAGGGTACTCTGTTCTTTTGTGACTTAGTGTTTAGAGCACTTAGCTCGAAGGAAGGAAAGAAGCATGAATCAAATCTCTGCTGCAAGGATTGCTGGGACAATTTATTCAATTACTTTTCTTTCATAGTTAGCCTTAAGAAGGGCACTTCACTCTTCCCTTGTATATATATTTTTAAAGAAAGCATGAAATATGTTTGAGGCATGATAGCTTAATGAGGGAGCACTTACCCCTCCAAAGGTTCCCATATGAGAATTCTGTTCTTGAGGACCTGTGTTGTTCTGGAGGTTTTCTTCTTTTTCATAATTCAAGCCTGAAAGGAATGACTTTTGGAAGGCCTGAAAATCCTCAGCTCCCTGTGAGGTATATTTTTTCATGTATGCCATCAGAGCAAGCACATTGGTTTTTGTTAGGTAGATCCCCACACCACCCTGACAGTTTCAAACCTTTAAAAAATGTCTCTGTTCTTTCCTGGAACACACAATGAGCACAGTGAAGGGGATGGAGGGCTGCTTTCCTTTCATTTGCTGTGTAATTGGAGAGATCACTGCTGAAGTGACCCTTCAAAGCAGAAATCAAGGTTGAGTTGTTGCAGGAATGATTTAGGAATAGCACATTCAACACCCCCTAATCTGATAGCTGTGTCATTTGCAATTACAGTAATTACTACCACAAAGAAGCCTGAATGCCTTTTTCTCCTTTGGCCAACCACAGCTCCATAGGATTATTCATTCCCTGTGATTTCAATTGATGGACAGACTGTGTTGAAAATAAGAATTGCCCTGAAACTCCCCTTGCTGCTGGAATGCAACTAAACTTCCAGACTTATTTCAATAGAGTACTTCTGAACTTGGATGTACCAAGAAAAGATTTGTACCTCCAGTGTCATGCTAATATGTCAAGAGCACCTTGTATTACTGCAAAGATTATGGTATTAAGGTTTTTAAATAACAAACTCTGTGAATGTGTGTAAAGAGATTAAAGAAATCTGACCAGAAAATCTTTGACAAAACATTTCTAGCTTGAAAAATAACACTTTCTCAAAATAAAACTTTCCTCAGAGGTGGATTTGAGTTCTAAAAAAGTCTTAACATTCTTATGTCTAGAATTTAATTTACTGGAGAAAGGACAGGAATAAGCTTTTTGAAGAAGCCAATGGCCCTGAGGTATTTGCCCAGGTCATCAAACATCCTGGTTCAAATCCTTGTCCCAGTTGGTCTTTTCTCAGGGTCAGTGAAGATAAGGACACTCTTTTCCTTTTTTCCTATTTGGATACTTGGTAAAAAGAAAAAATAAAATTTTTTTGTTAAACATTGCAAAAACACAAGTCAAACCTTTTTTAAAAATACTGTTCCTCATTTCTGTCCTGTCAGTTTTAATCATTGTCTGATTAAAACCACATAAATTCTATTCAAAGTTATTTGGCTTATGTTAAAGAGAAGGGAAAAAAAAAACAGTTTTGTTTTATTCCCAGGTATTACATAGAATCTTGATCAGTTAGGGCAGAAGAACCCTTATTAAAAAGTCTCTGAATTTGCTCTTCTTCTTAAATTTTATATCCAATTTCTCTTCCCAAAGAATTATTTTCATTGTACGGTCGCATCCCTTCTTTGTATTTTAATATTTTACATTTAATTTGAACTGAAGATTAAAAAACATGAACTTAATGTTTTTACAAATTCTTTTCATCTGTTTCAAGAGGTGTGAAGTTTCTCATGCTTTTGAACATGACATGTTAAAGTCTCTTGCCATATCAAAGGCCTGTAGTTATTTGCTGAGATTTTACTACTCCCATTCTCCTCTAAAAAATACTAATCAGATTGGAAGAGAAATGTATATAGATATATTTATAAAGAAATAAATCTAGCTCTTTATTTAAAGCATTTTACTTATTTTTTTTATATTGCAATCTCTTATTTTCACCTGGCTCATTTTGAAATCACAAAATACCTAAAAACCTCCTCAAGAATTTGGCCACCTTTAGGGTTTTTGTTGTTGCTAAAGGCTTGTCAGTGAACAGATGTTTAGCAAACTTCAAATTTGCTTAATTTTCATTATTTCCTGAATTCTAGTGTTATCTTGCACTTTTCTTACATTTTTCTTGCAGTGTGCAGATTTATAACATGATTAGCTGCTGAATACACACTGTAGTCTCAGCCAAACATGTGTTGGGATTCCTGCTTATCAAAGTGACTTCCTGAAAGTATTCTCTAAGCATTGCCTAAATGGAGTTGTTTACTCTAAAATCATTGCTTGTAAGCTAATTTTGTGACTTTATATTTCTGGAACAAAAATTATGAAGTAATCAGGAACATAAATGCAAAATTTATCCTACAAATATAGGGAAATTATTTAAACTAGAAACTGTGGGGATAGAGGTTATGGTCCTTATAAATGTTTGCAGTACATTTAGCATTACCTTGTGGTTGAAAATTGTCTCTAGTTTGAATTTTCTAGTATTTTTAATTATAATAAAGGAGTTATTATAATTACAAATAGGAGTATCATTCAATTGCAGAATTAAGACTGCTTGAGCTGTAATATATGGGAAAGGGTTTTTTATATATTTTAGCAGCTTTACATTTCCTTTAAATTTAACCTCAGCTCTGAACTTCTGAGACTTATAATGTCAGGTCTGGGGACACTTACACTATTTTTACACAGTACTTGGTCATGATTTTCCCTGTTTATTCAGCCTAAGCAGTAACCCTCCTCTGATGTTATATACGTTTCTGAATGAACATGTTAATGAGTGTTGCTGCCTGCTTGCCCAGTAGGTGAGCCATCATATCTGCTTTTCTCAGCCTTGTCAGAGAGTTGACTTTAGACAGCAGCCCTAAATCAGTGCCAGTAGAGCCTTTGCTGGTGCATCTCTATCAAGAAGTCTCATTAGATGCTAGAGGCAGATCCAAAAGGGTTTGTAAGCCTGTGTGCCAACCTTCCATTCCTTCACATCAGAAACTGCGTTAGTCTCTTGGGCTGAACATTTTAGTGTTTCAGAGCTGATTAACAAACCAGAAATCCATCATTTTGGAGCAGCTGGAGAGTTGCAATGTCCCCCACCATTCCCCCACATTACTCTGACTTCACTGATTCTGCCACAATTTATTTTGGTGTTTTTGAATCAGACAGAGCAAGGAACGAAGCTTTCCTTTTGTGGGGAAAGTCTGCCAGGGGACTTCAGGGCATAAGGTTGACTTTATCAACTTAGGATAACTTGATCTGCCTTTAAATAGCAATGTAGTTTTCTGTAGCAAGACAGGAAGGTTATTTTTGCTCCAGTAATAAACAAGAGAAGGGAATCTGTGTAATTCCAAAATGAATAAATGGCAGTAGGCACAGAGCAGAATGTTCACTCTCTGATCTGCTTGATAGTGAAATTGTTACATGAAAGCCATTTTCTGTGTCTGTGATCATTATAGGAGTCTTTAAAAGATCATTGCCCTTACCTCAGAGATGGAAAAGCTGGAATGGTAGGCAGAATAGGGAGTGACCTTCCTGAGCTCATCAGCAGAACCAAGCAGCAGGGAGAAGACTGTTCACTAAAGGATATGGTTATCATGATGATAATTCCTTCATTTTCTGAATGGATCCTGCACTCTCACCTGCTTCTTTTTCTAAAAATAACAATGCATCTTTTCCCTGTTTCATTTGTGCACTTGTTGCTGTTCCATTTCTGTGTCCAAAAGCTGACTGTTCTGAGGATTGGTGACTGTGATTGCAGTGCCCTAGAGTTTGCTGGGTGTGCTTGTTTGAGCTGAGGTGGAATTAATTTTCTTCCCAGTGGCTGGTATGGAGTTGTGTTTTGGATTTATGCTGAGCACAGGGTTGATAATGTAAAGATGGTTTTGTAACTGAGCAGGGTTTGCACAGAGCCAAGGCCTTTTCTTCTTTTCATGTTGCCACACTGGCAAGGAAGTTGGGGGCTGCTTGGAGAAGATATGGCCAGGACAGGTGACTCCAACTAACCAGAGGGATATTCCAGACCATGGGACATCATTCTCAGGGTAGAAAATGGGAGGGGTAAAGGAGAAAGAGCAGAGGCATTTGGAATGGTAGTGTTGGTCTTCCCAAGTCACTGTTACCTGTGATGGGACCCTGCTCTTCTGGAGATGGCTGAACACCTGTCTGCCCATGGGAAGAAGTGAATTAATTTCTTTCCTTGCTTTGCGTTTTTGCATGACTTTTGCTTTCCTATTAAATTTTCTTTATCTCTAGGATGCCCATCTGCCTACAAAGATTCTTCATTGTCTTCCCGGACAGTCTTTAGCCACATCTGCTCTAGATGTAGATGAGTTGAAATAATGAGCTTAGGAAAGGTCTCAAACACATCTACAGATCCTCTGAGGCCTATACTTCTTGTATTTGTCTACACAGGTTTCCCTGGAAAAAAAAATCCACTGTATGTATTCTTTTTTAAAGGCCCTCATAGTTTTAGAGAGCAATATGAAAGTGATTAGCAGTAATGAAAGCTCAAAAGGGTAATTTAGTATTCATGTTCATTTATTCTCAGCTACTCCTCTCCCTTCTAACAAAAGTGCCAATTAGTTCAAATTATGATGTAAATCTTTGTCAACAAAGGATTAGTTTAAGAGATGCAACTCATTTATTAAAGGTCATCTGAGTACACATCACAGGAAAACCTCTTTGAATCACCATTGATCACTTCCTCATTCTCATCATTTACCCAAATGAGAGAGACTTCATATCATACAATTGCTTTCTTCCAAGTATCTTGTTCTTATCACAGCTCTTTTTCTGCCCTCCATTCCTTTGCAAATCCACCTACAGCTACAAAGAAACCTTCAGAAAATAACTGTCTTTAATCCTCCCGAGCTCTGTTCTCACAATAAAGTAAAATGTCTGTGCTAACAACACAAACAGGTTGAGAAGTCAAAAAGAAAAATTAGTCTTGAATTAGGTTTATACTCATTTATGTTGACTGTAACAGTCACTTTGTGAGAGTTTCTTAAATCTTCTTCAGATGACTTTAAGCAATTTATTTCAATTTGCAATTCAAAAGGTACTTTCTTTACAGCAATGTAAACTCATGCTGGGATCAAATAGTCTATCTGGTGTCTCTTGTACCTCTGACATCTTCCTCCCAGGTGAAAGGTGGGCATTCCAACCTCATTTACCTGGCTGGCTCTTTCTGCTGCAGTATCTAGTGATTCTCTCAGTTGTCTTGACTGAGCAGTGTTCAAAAAGATCTTAATAAAAATTATTTGTCAGTAAAAGAAGAGGTGCTGAACATAATCAAATTTCCAAACTTACTACTCATTAAGATATAGACAAATTTAGGGGTAAGCCCAGTATATAAATATGACTAAGCACATATTTATATGTATAAAGCCCATAAATTCCTTTATTGAGGTACTGCAATCTAAATTTGAGTTTTGTTATGCTTAGAAATTACACCCAGACTTTCTGATTTTATTTAAGTTCTCGTGACTGGATTGTGCTGACCTGCCAGATCAGGCTGGGTTTCTTATCTGCTGCCCACATGCATGCCTGTTTTACTGATAAGCCTTTCTTGTAGGTATAGTGCTAAAACTGGTGCTCCAGACCATAACCTTTCATCTGTCCAAAAACTCCACGTGGCACATGTGGTGTAAAACTATCCCACTCAAACTCCTTTCAACTCATATCATATTTTCCCCTCCTTGCTACTTAGACGTAAAAGCAGCAAGGATCCCTTATGGATTCAGTAGATAGCCATGAGTTTCTTCTTTTTGTGAAATAAATATGCTGCCCTCCACCTTTATCGATGCTTCAGAGTCTCTACCATATTTGCCCTCAAAATTAAATCTTGGGACAGAAATATTGTGTTGTATTATCCTTATTTTTACAGCTGGCTTAAAGGGCAGCCCCGTCAGACAAGAAGCTGGTGGTAAAGTGCAGAGCTGACTCAGAATGTCTTGGCAGAGTGATTTTTTTCATGAACCTTGCAAATGCAGAGACGCTGCTGTGGCGGTGAGGCCATCGGGATGCAACCTCTGCTGGCTGAGGCCAGATTTGTACTGGTGGCATAAGGATAAAGGGTTTGCTCTCCTTTAGCTTTTCCTTTGATCTCTGCAGTTCCATGTCCTTCAGTGGGGTTTCAGTGGTTACCAGTGTGGTGTTTCTCCCTGTTTCCTGCAGGAGGCTGATCCGTGGAACCGTGCTGCTCAGCCTGGCACCGTGCAGCACACTCCCCACAGCAGTGATCACCCCGGGCATCTGCAGCACTGAGGCACCAACCTCAGCCACCCTGCAGGTGAGAAAGCCACGAAACAAAGCAAAGGCTCATTTTCTAACAAAGTACAAGGACAAGGGGTGTTCCCACAGCTCATCGATGTGGGAATCCAGGGCTTCCCTCTGGCTGCCCTGGAAGGCCTGGGACCCTGACAAGGGGTCAGGAGCCCCCCTGTACAGAGCCCCCAGAGACACTGTCTGTGATCTCTGTCCATGGAAAAGAGTTTTCAATCTTACAGGATGAATTACAAGCCTTGAGTGTTTGATAGGAGTAATAATTAAGTGTGGCATGGGTGCAAAAGTAAAATTTTAGGATTCTAGATTAGGGGTCCAAAGGGGACAAGATGGAGGAAATTGGGTGTGTCTTGTCCTTTTTCTCCTTCTTCATGCCCTCCATGTTTCACTGTGGTGTTGGCATTTTTCTGTTGGTTTAGGCTGGGGACACACTGTTCAACGTAGGTGACAGATATTGGCACATTATTGTAAATCCAGCACAGGTAGTTTGTGGTATTTAATGTTTGTACCATCCCACTGAGGGCAGAGCCCCACACGCTGCCCTGCAGGACAGAGCTGCGGCAGGGCAGCAGAACATGTTAGAGATAAACAGAATAAACAACCTTGAAACCAGCACAGACAAATTATGGCTTCTTCTTTGGCAATGGGGCAGAAAGACAGAGACCTTCTACAATCTTGGAATCATCAATACCCACAGATTCTGACACATCGAGACCACCCAAACTCAAAATCCTATTTCCATTACAGCCACTCAAAGAAATACATCAGGTCTGCATGGTAGTTTTGTCACCTTTCCAGGCTGAGTTAGCAACTGGGTATTTCGAGGACAAAGCCAATTGTTTTCTATATTTAAAAGTCCTAATGTCTCTTAGCAAATGAAATGTAAAAGCAAATAATACAGATAAATGAGCCTGGCCTAAAAATAACCTTGTTTTAACAGTCAAGCAAATGGGGATTCTCCAGGCTGAGGAGTTCAGTCAAAGACCATGCCTTAAAATAACTCCCCCTATTAATAATTCAGGGAAGCTGAGATAGTAAATGGCTATTAATTTATGTCTACTGGAAGGACTGAAACAGGATTTCTCATTCTGCACACTCCCCCCCCCCTTTTCAGTAATTCCCAGCCATATAGCAGTATCACAATGTGTGAACACACTGTAAATATTGTAAATATATATTTTCATAGAGAATCTAGGCTTGGGTTGGAAGAGACCTTAAAATCATCCAGTTTTGCAAGGTGACTGAGTGTTTTATAGGGACTAAATCTGTTAACTTTTAGAAGAGTGATGCATACCAAATGCTTAAAAGAAAAAATAGATAGAGATAAGGCAGTTTGGTGTGCATTAATACAACAAAGCTGGGTGCAAATTGAGCTGAATTTTGAAGAACAGTCTGAGTTTCATATAAGTCTACTCAGATTATCAAGTACCTCGAGCTTTGTAGTTTTGGTTGAGTGTTTGCTTTCTCTGTATCTTAAAAAACATTATCCTTCATTTCTGACAGGCATGTGTAAGAATGGAAAATAGGTAGATGCTGCACAATATATTTACAAAATGAACATCCAGAAGAGAAATAAGGAATCTGATTTCCATCTCTTGCAGTGACAAACTACACATCTGAGATAGCCTTACTTTTGAAAAAATAGAACACATCTACATTGATGAAAGTTTTCCGTTTGAGAACCATCTCGAAAAAAAGAAAAGAGGCAAAAAGTAAAAACTGGCTTTAGTTTTGAGCTTATGCATCTCTAATAAAATTGTAATATGGTGGCCTAAATTTTCCCAGGAAACTTAGGTTCCACTGATTTCTGTGGATGGAATTTATCACCAAAACTTTTAAATAATGTAGTACATACAGTAAGCATCCTCAAATAATTATTTCCCCTTCTTTTTGTCATACTTTGTATACACCCTATACAATCCAAGATAGCATTTATTGGCGCTTGTATTAGAGATCACACATTGCTAAAACCCATCTGTCTTTTTTATTTTTCATTCCTTGTATTTTAAAAAAAAGATCGACTTCCCAGAAACCGATTTGGAGTTCATTAAACCTGAACCTGAAGAAAGAAGAGGTGATTTTGTAGAGCCAACCCAAGAGTGCCTGAAGAACATTGCAAGACTTTCACAGAAACACTCTCTCTTGCTGTAAGTTGTCCCCACCTAACCCTGCTGGTTCTTGCTGTGCTGTGCCTACCCTATCGATCACAATTAAATGTATCCAATTTGTTAAAAACAAAATTTTCCTCTGAAGGAGCCTAGCTTGGCTGCTTTGAGAAGTAACACCTCTAAATGAAATAATAGATCACAGCAAGGCCTGATAAGGCTCTGGAGGTGGCAGTGTATTTTACCACTTTAGAAAAGGATTGGTTTTCCCTTTCTATTGCTAGATCTTTTCATGTCTTTGAGGCAAGAAACTAATTTTTCATTCAAAACATAAGATTTTCACGTAATGGAGTACATCTGTATCAGTATTATCAAGAACACCTTTAGATTCTATGGAAATTGGCCTCCTTTAGTTATTAAACACTCAAACTTCAGATGGAGCTGTGAAACGGCTTTTGAAAAATCTCTTTCAGGTGATAAGCAAGGAAAGAAATATGAAAAGTTCAGTTTTCATTGAAGGTGGATAAAAACAAAGTGGAACAAAGCACACTCTGAACTGAAGTATATTAGTATGCTCTGCTACATGAATGTTGTACTACCAATTAGGATTATGTACTGCATAAAGTCATTTTGGGTGTAATCAGAGTGGAGTTTGGAACACAGGTGCTTACAGAGAGCCATTATACTAATGACAGTTAATTGTGTGAATTAATCCTCCACCAAAGGTCAAAAGGTGCATTAGTTGTGCAATAACTAAATAACTTAATTCAGCACTCTCAGTGGGATATGATGTATCTGTTAAGAAGATTTTTCTGTGCTGATTTCTATGTTGGTGGTTTGAGGGGTTTTTCTTAAATTAATTTATTAAAAAAAAAAAAGAGGGAGAGACAAGTTTTCTGTTGTATGTGTAACTCAACTTTTACAAAGACAGGCAAAGTGTAAAATTATTTTTATTGACCACAGGATCTGTGATTTGAGGTTTTTTTTTTTTTTTTAATTCTGTTTTAAAATGTGAATGAGATGTCAGTATTTTATTATCAAGAGCCATTTTGACAGTGAAATTTCCACCTACAAAATATGCTTCAGAATGATTTAGGGAACTTCAAACCCAATGCCTGTGACCTCTGTTACCATAGCAAAAATGTGGTTTCATTAAGAAGGAATAAGATCATTAAGAAATTAGCAAAGTACAAAGTAATTTGTCAAAGAAGACAGCTCATGCCATTTGTCTGCTGCTTAAATCCTTGATGTCCATTTTATTGAGAATGCTGCATGGTTCTTGTCTTCAAGACTCAGGAAGGACACAGTAGATGTGGAAAGTTTGCAGAGAGGGGCAACAAATATCATGAAAGGGCTTTAGCAGCTTTTTAACCAAGAGAAGCTAAAAAGGCTGAGACTCTGTATTTGGAGAGAAGACTACAGTATGTCTATGTATGTACAATTAATTTTTGTAAAATAAAGATGGTGATAGACAAGGTAAATACCTCCTCAAATCCTATAATATTTTAACTTAGGGGCATTCAATGAAACAAGTAGGAAATAATTTCTCAACAAATGGAATAAAGTGCTTCTTAGACAGTCAGTGGTGATCTTTTAAAATCTGCTGTCACAAAGCTGTGAAGGCAGATGACAACATCACATTCAGGAAGGCTAACCACAAAATCATGGATAAGAGGTTCATGGATATTTTTCACAAACGACCAGCAAAGGGTGGATCCTGTAACATCCATAATACAACAATCTTGGGTTCTGTGGGAATATGAAGGGAAGAGACCACTGAAGGTCACCAGTTTGGAGTTGAGGCTGTGCTAAGTTCAACTACAGGTCCTTGGAGGAAAGGCAGGGGTAGTCCTGTGTTTTCCCATAGTTTGTTGTTTTCTGTTCTCCTATCTTGCAGGCAAAGCTGGTCTAATAAATGAATCATGTAGGGGAAGGGTAACATATCTGGGGTTTGAATGAAGCAATTCCATTTTTTGGTATTTTGTTAATCCAGCCTGTAAATTTTGTTGTATCTGTATCAGAGGAATTCTTTTAGCCTTTCTCATTCATGAGATAATTTCTCTTTAAAAAATTATAGCATGTTTGTATCCTAACACATTATTGCCGTGATATCTGAAGATTATTTCTTCTTTTCTTTTTTTTCCATATGTCAAGAAAAAGAGAGGAATCTAGGCAGCTTTTTAGTGGCAGTATCATTCCATGATGATGCTCCAGATAACTGGGTGTCTCTGTCAGAAGACACAAGAAATCTTTCTCAGTCTGTCAGGATCCTTCTGTTCATTGCACTGCAAGCAGAGGGATTAAGTTGAACGGACAGAAAATTCTTAAACCAGTGGTAGAAAAGGAAGAAACAGTGGTTAAAACCAGACAGCTGCATGCTTGTTGAATCCTGCAGTGTTATAAGTCTAACACTGCCACAAAACTGACAGCACAGACAGCCTGATTCTGTTCCTCCCCTCTGCAGGGTCAGGATCCAAGTCTGCTGCTGGAATACATGCAAATACTATATATTTTTACATATAGTATCGAAAAATTGATTGCCCCAGTAGCTGTGCTTAGTCTATCCAGTAGCTGGACCCAGATCTCCCTGTTCTCCCCAGCTGCTGACACCCTCAGCATAAAATAAACCACATAAAACACATTAAAACCCTCAAGGTCCGCAGCTACACCGAGCTGGTTGCTGGTGCTTGGGCCCCTTCCTGGTACACGGATGTGTGTCTGCTCCTGACATGGGGTCTTCCCAGCAGCTCAGACTCTTGTCTTTCTGGTAGGTGGCTCAGACCACTGGTCCCTATGGCCAACATCTCTTGGATGTTGATTAAGGAAGGAGTTGTTGAGTGGGACTGAAGGAAGGGAAGGTACCCACGTGGTTCTTGTGCTCCTCACAGCCCCTGACTTGGATCTTTGGCATCTTCACCAAGCCAGACAGAGAGAGCCAAGAGCAGAGCGCACTGGTTACTGCCAGCTGCTTTGGCTGACTTCTGCAAACATTTCAGATGTGAGCTTCTGATTCCTTTTAGGATTAATGTGTTTGAAATACAAGCCCCAGAAAACTCTGCATCTGAGATTCAGGCTGCTCTTTGAACCCGGTGCAGACTGCTTGCAGTGTGTCCCCGTGAAGGGATGGGAGACTGCTTTGAAGCCAGAATCATGCCAGTGTGGTTTGTGCCATCTTTATTGCCTTCATTCATAATTTTCCTTCTACCTTGCTTTTCCCTCTCTTCCAGCTTCCCTTTTCCTTTTTGCCGCTTGCCTGGAAAGGATCTATTTTGCCTACCAGTGGTCACAGGAATCCTGTTGTAATGAGGTGTGATTAGATCTACCTCCAGCTGGGTGAATAGTGGAAGAGACCTTTTCTAGCCTATCCATGGAACAGAAACTTAAAAGTGAAAATCAGTGCTGGGGGACAGACATTTTAATTTTCTATCTTTGCTGCTCTCTCCTCTTTTTCCCTTTTGTCTTGTTCTCCTTTAGTACTGAACGTGAACAACAAAAGCAGATAAGAAGCATTTAAATTCATTTTTTGCTCTTCCCCCCTTTCACCCAAAAAGTAACAGCTAACCAAGCCTTCTGAGAAGCTGTTTTTTTCATTTAGCTAAAGGGGTTAATCAAATCCTGAACAGAAAACTGCTGAATTATTTAGGTTATAAGGTATTTTAGTTTTATTTGTGTTAATCAGAAGGCTATATGTTTTAATATAGATCTCATATGGAGGGAAATTTAGATACACCACCACCTAAAATCTACAAACTTTTATCAAAAAAAGAGGTTTAAATAGCATCTTAACCCTATTGAGACAAAGAAATGCCCTTATTTGCTTAACAATCTTCAGATGCTATATGTATGCAAAATATTTTTTCCATCTTAAATGTCTTATTAAATGTTTATATAAGCTTTGTTACAATAAGAAACTTAAAATCAAAACTAAAGACACTCCTGCCCCACCCACCCTTTCATTTCATCTCTGATTTTAAAGCATGGAAAGAGAAAATGGCATTGCCTCTGAGTAAAGTCAGAGGGAGAAATCTGTTGTTTAGCAAACATGATACAAGGATTGATTTCTTATCACCCTTTGCAAGCTCAGTAGAAGCTTTAGCTGCTTTAATCTGAACAACAGATTGTCTAGTTTGGAGGATGCTGCTTGAAAGCTGAAATCTCTGCTTAAAGTTATCATTGGAAAGAGTTCCTTTAGCTGAACTGTCCTGCAGAATGTCATCCAAATGCACAAGATAACCAGACAGGCAATGAAGTTTTAGGCCTGCTTTTATCTCTTTTCCTGTGTGTGACTTTTTCACATGATCACAAAAGCATCTATTTATTGACACAGAAGGCATGCTATGAGCTCTGGGGTTGTTTCTTGAAGTCATGACCACAGTGACACTTTTCCTGAACTGATCACTGAAAGCCAGGATTGGTCTCACAGTTAAGTTCATCTTCTGCATACATTTATGAGCTTCTTCTCCTAAAGGGAAGAAATTAACATTCACTCAGGGAAAAAAAAAAAAAACCATGGCCATCTTTGTGCGGCTGCTCTCTGTTCCTAAACACTTGGCAATTCAAAATTGCAAGGGAAAAAAGTTCTCTAGTGCCTACAGAGCCAAAGGAACTCATTTCTATGAGCTGTGAATGACACAATCTTGACAGTTAGAGTGGGGCTAGGATTTTTTTTTTTTTTTTGATTTTTTTTTTTTTTTTTTTTTTTTTTTTTTTTTTTTTTTTTTTTTTTGGCTAAGAATGTCCCAAAACATTGCAAATAGAATGAAGACAACCTTGGAAAGAATGTAAACACTTGGATTTTGAGCCCTGTTTACACATCTGGATAATTAAATGTTTGTCTGGAAGCAAACTATTTACTTACTGCCTTCCACTAGATTCCTCACATCACATTCTGAAATATTTAGGTTTTTTTAAAGCCACAATTGTTTTATGCTATTGATTAGCTGCATCACCCACCTGGTCAAATATGACCAAGAAAACGAATATTCTTCTTGATTTGAGTAATTATTTGTATGAACTGGGGATCGGTTTGCTCTTTCTCTATTTCTCTCAAACTCTCAAAAAGGGTTTGATTTTGAAGGCTCTGATATCAAATTAAGGCCATTGTCTGAGCTTGTCTCTCCAGGGAAATTTATTTTCCTGTTTTCTGATGTGTCAGAACCTGAGATTTAATATTCATGAGGCAAAGACATCTGAATTGTTGACAAATCAGATGATATAAGGCAGAAATTGTTGTGCTGTGGTGAAATATGGTGTGATGACTGACCATTTCATCAATATGACATTTAGATATGTAACATCTCTGTGAGGAGTCTGGTGTATTGCATCCTTTTTATTTTTCCTTTTATTTTTTTTTTTTGTGAGTACAGTAAAGCATGGCAAGCTAGACTTTTCAAACAAATATAAATGTTGTTGGGAGCTTTTCTTTCCTTTTCCAAACTCCCATCAGCAGCAGGGATAATCACACTCTGCATGTGTGTACCTGTGCTCATGTTTTTCTGTATGTGCATAGATGTACCTAAACATTATTTTAAAAACAAATATGCTAAAAATAGACACACCTACATTAAAGAGTCAAAGCAAGGGCAGGAATGAAAGATAGGACTTGCAGTGTTATGTGGCTAGTTATGAAAGTTAGAGATATTTGTAGCAGATAGATGTAAAAATAATTTACCCAGTGACAACTGCACATTCTTTGTCAAAAAAAAAAAAACAAACCTACCAGTAAAAACAAACAAGCAACACCAACAATAGAGACAACAGAGAAGAAAATTGAGAGTGCTTGGAATGTGAAATAATCATATATATATGTGTGTGTGTGTCTTTTGACACTTCATTTTTATATGACCTAAGGCTGACAGATCCAGAATATAAGTATCACTTTTCTTATAAAATCTGGTCTGCAGAAAATGATATCCTACCCAAAGGAAAACATGAACTTAGCTGAAAAGCAGCGTACTGTGTGACTTGGCCCCTTGGTACAATAAAGTTTGTTGCTACACAAAGCTTCAGGTGGTTTTAATTTCAAACTGAAATTTTCATCTTCATTTCCAGACTCTCAGAGCAACAGAGAAGAATCCTGTGGTTTTATCGCTACTCCTGCAATAACCAGAACTGCTCCCTTCCTCTGGTGCTGGGCAGTGCACCCAGCTGGGACAGAACCACGGTGTCAGAAATGTATGCCCTGCTGAGGGGATGGAGGTTTTCTGACCCTCTGGAGGCACTTGGGCTGCTGACTTTCAGGTAAGGGAAAATTACCCAGGTAGGAAAGTAATGCTAAGCAGAAGGATCAGGTGCTGGTTCATTCAGTGCTGCTGTTTGCTCAGCACACTCTCCAGGTTTGATGCACTGGCTGAGTTTCCCTTTCTCTCTGGGCCAAAGTGAAAACAGAGGTGCAGCTCTTGCCATGACCTTGAGTGTGCCAACCATGTCTGCTTGGCTGTGAAGAGTATCATTGTCACTGCTGTTAATGAAGGGATGGGACCATCTTTGGGCTAAGAACGATTCATTGCTCAGATAAACATCAGTCTCAGGGGCTGTGAGATTTTGGAGGAGCAAGCAGTTGGTTATAGCTCAAAGTAGTTGCAAGTTCTTTGTTACAAGGCAATACAGAACTTTCTAGTCCAGTAGACAGTTGCCACGAGGTGTATTTTGCTTTTCTAACCTATCACCTTTACTTAATTTTGCTGCACTGTGGATATTTTTGTCCAATAAGCTTCTGTCTCACATACACACATATGCTTCTGTTATAACTTCTAAACTCATAACTTATTCTACACAATTACATCTCTACATTATAAACCCTTCACCGTTTATCAATGCAGTTTCTCACTTAAGGCATATTCTTACTTACTATAGAAACATAAGTTTATGATTTTTCTGCTTGATATCGGTGTATTGTATTTTTACATCAATCCAAGCTTCTTCTAAGGCTGCAGATCAAACGCTCCAGTGTCTGTGGAAGTTTCTGTTCTTCCAATTCCCACAGGAAAGTAATGCTAAGCAGAAGGATCACGTGCTGTTTGCTCAGCACAGTGTCCAGGTTTGATGCACTGGCTGTGCTTTCTTTTCTCTCTGGGCCCAAGTAAAAGTGGAGTTGCAGCTCTTGCCATGACCTTGAGTGTGCCAGCCATGTCTGCTTGGCTGAGAAGGTTTTCTATTTCTCAGGATAATAAAAAGAGTATTTCATTCTCTAGAACAGATACAGGCAGTTTCTGGTAACAGGTAATCAGTCAAGTACTTAGCACTTGCACAGCACTCCATAACTTCAAATTACTGAACAGGCACGAGGTGAATAATGGGAGATAAGGAGGATTGAAATATATCTCTGGATTATACAATAATCTATGTAAATACCCACAGTCCCACGTGTGACCTATCTTTCTGAAGCAGATTGGATGGAACTTTGAAGTCAGTTGAATAAATTCTGTTGTGGTGCCTTGTGTTCCACCCCCACCTCTTGCCCTGGGAGCTGATTGTTTGTCAGGACTCTTGCTTGATGCTGGAGATAGCCCTACCCAGGATGTACCAGAGATGTCAAGGGACAGGATCTGTGTCAGCAGCTACATTCCCTCCAAAAACTTGGGAGGTATTCTGCATTAAGTGACCTGTAAAAACATTATACATGCAGATGAAATGCTTGAGTAAATTTGTTTTATCAAGCCATTGCTTGTCTTGGGTAAGCACAAGTTGCATCAGTTTTGAAATCTCAGTTTCATGCTCTACCTTTGGAAAAAAAAAAAAAAAACCTCCTCTAAAGCTTTACTTGGGAAATACACTGTGAATTGGTACACTTACTGCCAGATTATTAAAAATAGACCTTTGACAATCTAAAATGTATTATTTTCTCTGGATTCAATTTCCTAATACTTGTATCCCAGTTTCTATCTGAACTATTAGCAGTTTCACATGTTTGCATACATGTCTTTTTTTGTGTAGTGGGAATGGTGGAAGCAAAGATCCTGACAGATCAGGTCCTGGAGCATAATATTAGTTTTTATTATTAAAGTATTAGGTTCCAATTCTAATTTATAAAAGATCCATGTAGAAAGGTGTAAATGAGCGCTGTGTTGTCTTGCAAACTTCAGAGTAGAAAGAGAATTTGATAGGGTTTGTCAGAGCATGCCAGGCTTTTAGATCAGACCTTTTGCCCCACTTTGTTTCTGTGTCTGGGTGGCATTTCTACAAATCAAGATCTTGATTGTTCTTTGAACATGCAGCTCTGCACGAGGGTGTGATGCAGAATATCAGCCTTTTCAGGTGCTTCAGAGAGTATTTGATATTACTGAGTCTGTTCTCCAGCTTCTCAATGTGCATCAGGTGCAGTGTACCCAGTGTTCATTCTGGCTACACCAAAACTGCTGGCATGGAAAAGAGGGGAAAATGTCATTACTTTGTCCCTCTTGTGCCACCTTGGGTAGTGCTTGGCACCTGCAGTTGTGCCAAAGAACAAGAGATTATATCAATACAGTTGGGTTTTTTTGGTTTGGTTTTTTTTGTGGGTTTTTTTTTTGTTTGTTTGTTTGTTTTTTGTTTTTGCTTCATGGTGATACTGCAGAAAGAAGTTCTGCATCACAGAAAAAAATTTAGGAAAAAAAATCTGTCCTCCTCATATCCACAACATCTTGTTGGTGCATGAATACCTGGGAAGCTAGTCTTCAGAAACAGAGATTACATTTCCTTAAAGATGCCTCGTTTCAAAAATGTCTTGGATACATGCAAATTGAGAGAGTGGGTTGAAGGAGAGGAGCACTTTCCATATAAATTGATTTCTGAGGTTTCTTCTCTTAGTTCTCTATTTCTCAGTTTTCTATAATTTTGAAAAAAGTACAGTAGCACTGGCTAGGGCCCAACCTTACTTCCCCCTTACCCTCACTGACTTTGGATCACAGGCTCTTTAACTGAGCTGGTTTTGAACATTCATTCAACTCTATCTTGTTTTATGTTTGGCATTGACAACTCATCAACTCAGTTCCTCACTTCTATCATCCACGAAACAGCTCTCTGATTTCTTGTGATTGCTAAGACACGGCTGAAAGATCCAAGTTCATATAAAACATGAGCAGAATATAAAATAAATCCTCTCCATATATTCATGTCTATTTTAAGGACTTGTATTACCATCACTATCAAACCATGGGTAAGGAAAATGAATTAGTGCTGATCTTTGTCTACAAATATTTCTGACAGGAGCAATGCACTAAATCAGCCCAAAAGTCAGTGTAGTGCATCCTCTCTCCAGTGGTGACCAAAAACAGCTACCCAGGGAATACAGTGAAAATGGGCCAAACATAGTGAGACTGCTGCTCTCCCAGCTTTCAGTGTTCTGCAGCTCAGAGACTTCCTCAGACAGATTTCTTTTTTGTTGTTGTTGTTACAAGAGCCCTCTTGCATTTTTCTTCCATGATTTTTTTCCAAAATGAAATTGATTCTGCATAAATATTCAGCTTACAATCCTGAAACAAGAAGATCTGCAGCTTAGCTCTATGATGTATTATTTCTGTGCACCACAATTTATCAATACCAAGAGTTTCCAGTCGCTCCAGAATCTGGATGCTTTCTTTGGTGAAACTTTAGTTTGCAGTGTCTCTAGGAGAACCTGAATCTGTGCTGCAGGCATGTGCTCACACTTTAGAAGGGGTTCTCAAAATCACTGTCACTTCTGCAAGTCTTGGCTTGGGAACTCTAAATTATCCTTCTTCTCAGAGCAAAAAAAAAAAAAAGGCAGTATCTGTCCTGCTGATTAAACTCAAACACCCATTGGGGAGGACAGAAAAATGAAAACCATTAGAGATGCTTGCTGGCATAGAAGGCAGCATCACAGAGCTTAGGGAGGGGTATCACAGCCCAGCAGATCAAGCCCCCTTATCAGGAATTTGCAACTTTCTGAAATTTCTAAGTTGTTTTGTTCACCTCACAGTTAAATGTACCCCTTAATAGATGTTTCTTGTTCTTTGAGTGTGTCTCTCTTGCTTATGCTCTTCCATTTTGCAGGCAACCCTCAAGGCAGGCAAATGATAAGATGCTTATTTATGCACTGGAAAGGAAGAACTTTCATAAATGGAAAACACAATCACGGTATACATTTCACAGATAAATTCAGTTGCAACCTTGAATCCAGCACTCAGAGCAAGTGCATTGTTTCTTAGAGCCCTAGAAGCCAATGCTTTTAAAAAAAAGGAATTTAAAAACCATTTATGTTTCTTTAATCAATAAAGATGTGATGGAGAGGATGGGAGGGGGAAGTGGAGAATGAAGATTTTACACTCTTACCTCTAATTTCAAGGAAGGATGGTTATAAGCTGTTGCCTGAAATATAAAATTATCCCTAAGGCAGAAGTTATAGAGATGGTCCCTCCTACTCAGAGCAGCTTCTTGGTGCCCTGTGCATTTTGCTGTTGATTTCACTTATTGAGTTTGGTAAAAAGCCAAGCTTTAGTGAGTTAGATCTTTCTACAGCTGTATCCAGGGAAATAACACCAGTGCACTCCTTTACTCGGAGAATTTCCTTGATGACAGAAAGAAACCAAGGCAGGGTTAGCAGTGCCATCATTTATGGTATGTTGCTAGCAGGCCAATGTTTTGTGTATGTTTAGAACAACCACAGTTGGGAATTTTTAGTCAGGTTATCTTGCTATTCAAATTACTGCAAAGGAAAGTCCAAGCATATTCTTCAGCTTTTTTTTTTTTCTTTTTCTTTTTTTTTTTTGTGTTGTTGTTGTTCTGGCCCATTTAGAGTACAGTTACAGCCCTGTGAAGTGTCATGGGCTGGGAATGAGAAAATTGAGCTAGAATCAGCAAGCAGCATGGAATCTAAGTCTTTTTCCCAGCCTAGTGCATGGCTGCAACCATTTTGTAGAGAGAATTTTTTGAAGTAGCTTGTGGCTGTTAAGATGGAACCTCCCTGTTGGGTTTAAAAGTTTCCTACAAACTTCCTGCTGAGTTCTAATTCTGTCAGGGCAACTGCACAGGAAAAGACATTCCTTTAAAACCATGTGCGAAATCAGTGTCAGACACAGTTTTGGTTATAGTCCCTCAGCCTGTGACTGTCCCAGTATTATTCTTGATTCTCACTTTACATAGCACAGTGGCTATTGCATTCAGAGGTTCAGATATCTAACCAATAATTAAAATAAAATGTGATACCTTGAAGAAAAATTTTGTTCTTCAGCCTTTGAAAGCCAAACAGATTTAGAATTTTTGAATCAGATTGTAATTGTTTCAATAAAAGGAGAATTTTAAAT